CATGTCATCAAAGTGCTGCTTGGAAGGAAGGTAAATGAAATTAGACTTAATTTAAATGTAGACTTTTACAGCGTGATGTTTTGAGAATAAAAATGGCTTTCATTTTTCATTTTTCAGGTGAACTGGCATGACTTTGCATTCTTTGACCCAGTCATGTACGAGAGCCTGCGGCAACTCATCCGCCATTCTCAGGCTGGTGAAGCAGAAGCAGTTTTTGCTGCCATGGACCTGGCCTTCGCAATTGACCTCTGCAAAGAGGAGGGGGCTGGACAGGTAACAGACAACACATTATCCCCAAGTGTAAAAAGACAGAGCAAAGAAACGTAAAAAAACAAAACTGGATGGGCGTTGCATGCTTTCACACTGCTGTCCCGTCCTGACATCTCCCCTATTTTCACTGATGTCTTTATTGACAAGATTTCATTAAATGACATAAAACACATCCTTGAAATTCACACTGACAGTACAATAAAACATGTGAAATAACCACACATAACTGATTCACTTGTAGCAGGTGGAAAAATGAGAACATGTTGGTGCTAATGGTACGCCGGTTGCACATCCTCCCTGTTGTACCAATTGGCTAACAAAGTAAAAAAGTTCCTCAAGGCACTTTCCCCTACTGTGTGTATCTGTGACCAGCCTTTCTTTCTCTCACATCATAGATATGTCATTCACACATGTCCAGGATCTTAAAGCTATGTCAACAGATGGATCAAATATAATACCGGAGGATCCAAATACTTGCTCTTGCGCATTTTTACTGCCACGTTATCAGACATTTGTCAAATGCAAGAACAACTTAAACCATTGATCTATGCTACAGGGAAACAAGGAAACTTCCAAATGTATTTGACAAAAAACTTTTAACTTCCTTCTACAAAAAGAAAAGAATAGGGGAAAGAATTTAAATGTAAGGACAAGGAGAATTTTACCAAGAAATAAGTTGCACTGTTTACTTTACAAAGCATTTGTAAGTCGTTTCAACCTGTTTGAACTTGACCTTTTACGAAGCATCATTAGGTTGGAAGAGCGATACAGAACAAGGAAGGGTAATTCAACACCCTTTACCAAGTCTAAAACTTATTCTACGTGTGCCAGCTTATGCTGATTTGTATTTTTTCCTTTACTACTGTGAATGATATTTCTTGACATTGAAGATAGGCAGTGTAATACACACTAGAGGATAATCAGCTGTCATCATCAACAAGACTGGAGTAGAAACTTTTTGTGTTCATCTATTTCTGTACATACTGTGTACGTATCATGTAAGTCATGATAATTATACAGTGATCAAATCTGCACCTGATGTGGCTGCAACAGGCCTTTTCTTAAAATGACAAACTAGTTCAGATTCATGATTAAACATTTCTTCATATGTGCACATAAAATATATTTTCCATCTTTGATCATTCTTGCTCAGTCACTTATTAACCAATAAAATACCTAGAGTCCTGAGTTTTTAAGAAGAAACTCCTGTCCTGTTTTACTTTTACAAACATACTTTTACTGTACGTTAGTGTGATGTCAAATAAAAAAGTACTTTGAAAAATGATGCCACGATAAATTGCGCTTCTTCTTTTTTTGTTCTGGTTCAGGTGGAGCTTTTGTCTGGTGGGGTCAATATGCCAGTGACTCCTCTCAATGTGTACGAGTATGTCAGGAAGTATGCAGAGCACAGAATGCTTGTGGTGGCTGAGCAGCCTCTCCATGTAAGTGAAACACTTAAACCTACAAAAGAAAAAATGTTATGCAAGGCGGCATATATAACAATGATGTCTGTGTGTGTTTCCTAGGCAATGAGAAAAGGTTTACTGGATGTACTGCCTAAGAATGCCCTGGAGGACCTGACGGCAGAGGACTTCAGGCTGCTGGTGAACGGCTGTGGAGAAGTCAATGTCCAGATGCTCATCAGCTTCACCTCCTTCAATGATGAATCTGGTATTATGCATTGCATTTTCTTTTCTCTGTCTCCTTCTGTCCATTATCCAACTTTATCTTGAATTACCTGCATTCATTCTAAAAAAAAGATTTACTGCTGTAAAAAAAAAAGAAATCGGCAACACATCAAGCTAAGGCTTTGACTTCATTCAACAGGTGAGAATGCAGACAAACTACTGCAGTTTAAACGCTGGTTTTGGTCCATAGTAGAGAAGATGAGCATGACCGAGAGGCAAGACCTGGTAAGTATGACTCACCAGTGCAATCCCTGTTTTTATATAGAGGCTCACATTCAGGTTTGAGGTGTGAAAACGTTTCTCTGTTGGCTGCTGAATACTGAGAAACAATCTGAATGACTCAATTTTCTATTTTCACAAGTCTATTTGTTTACTGTACATTATTGCTTTCTTTCAATGGATTAGTTTGTTTTTCAACCATATCAGTGTCCAACAAAGTATCAGTATTATATAACACGCAATATCAGAAAAAAAATAATAATAAAAGTATTTTTTGGTTAAAAAAAAAAGATGTGAAAACTAGGCTCCATTTTGTCCGTAGTTGTTGTTTTGATTTTCAGTAGAATGGTGTTTTGCTTTTTGTGCATTAACATTAGCCATATAACAAGACTACTTACCAGTACACTTTCTCTCTATAATAATCATTTAGACAACCCTTTTAGATAGACTCAAACTGTTTCCCAAATAATTGACCTGGTGATGAACATGAAGGAAAAAAAGAAGAATCCTGTTTGTTTAAAGATTGAACATGTTACTGAACCTGAGTAGTAGAGCTACATCCTGCCCTGTCACTGAAAACAGGCCACCCTGCACATGGCACTTGCTGTGAAAACCAAACCCTGAAAGATTTTTTAAAAAAATGGGAGTTCATCTTGATGAATCTTCATCAGCAGTACAAAGGAGCACAAACATACAAGCAGAAAAGATTGGGAGGTGATGATGTCAGTGAGGTGCATCCCTTGGTTTCCTCAAATTAAATTATTATAATATGCAACCTGCTTTATTAGATTGATTGACTACGGTCTCGATGTCTGTCACTAAACCTTTGTCAGAAACTAGAGTAAATACAGCAATGTCATACTAAACTACATATGGACTTTACTATTCATAGGCAACAACTACAGGAATTCTCTAGGGTTGAAATTGTGCAGACACACCAAAACTGTTGAAGTCCACATGTTTTGTACAAGTATTCAAATGAATGCCTTTGGCCCTGTGTCCAAATATCAATTAAAAAAACTCAAAATTTTAAAATCTTTCAACTTTTCAGAAAGGTGTTGTTGATGCCACTGGTGCTCTTTTCCAAATGTATGATAATTCCCATATTTTTGCCACTTAAGAATTGTCTTGTACCATCAACAATCTTATTTGATCTGTGCCTGCTGGAATAAAAATAATCCCCAAATATAAGACAGTAAAAAGCTACGGAGCATTGTCTGTCATACAGCCGCTGTTGTCATAGAGACAGGACGGACGTGCAGCGCTTTTCTTCTGAGCGTACAAAAGCTTCATTAAAGTGCTCCTGAGCGCACAGCTAGCACATTTCTGCCCGGGAAAAATCTAGGTGGACACGGGGCCTTAATCATTGTATGAAAATATGCCTGATGAATGGTGAAAGAGATTTAAAAAAACACATTAAAAAGGACAAGAGACGAGATCATGATTATGAAATGGTGCAGAAAATGCACAAATTGTTGACCAGAATGCAGAAATGAAATGTTTGGTGTTGAGATATTCTTTTAGGGCCCCAGACCTCTTTTTGTTTTTATTTTCATATACTTATTTATTTATTTGTATGTCTCTGGTGTTTGTGTGTGGGGAAGCTGTTTTCCATTCTTTTCCCTGATGAAGCCTGGCTACATAGTAACAAATGCATAATGTTATTTTTGAACTACCTGTCTCAGAATAGAAACTGGTATACTTGGTACAATGCTCTTTATGTTGAAATGGAAAAGGTGAACAATGACTTTCTTTTCCTCAGGTTTACTTCTGGACCTCCAGTCCATCTTTACCAGCCAGCGAGGAGGGCTTCCAGCCAATGCCCTCCATCACGATTCGGCCTCCAGATGACCAGCACCTCCCCACAGCCAATACCTGCATCTCACGCCTTTATGTGCCACTCTATTCTTCAAAACAGATACTTAAACAGAAGCTCCTGCTAGCCATTAAGACCAAGAACTTTGGTTTTGTGTAGAGGCTTGACAGAAAAGAGTTCAAAAGGAATTAGAAAACATGTTTACTGTTGTGAAATATTTACCTAGCTTAATTTTTGTAGATTAATTTTCTGTGTATACAGTTTTATGAATTTGACATACTGTCGCTATCTTCCCAGGCTGTAATATTTGTGTTGTGAACACAAACACCTTGTTATTTTTTATTTTTGTTTTTTTTTTGTGTTCATGAAGTCCAGAACATTCCTCCATTGGCCCCAGTAAAATCTAAACCCCACAGCCATGCTCTAATGGCTCAAACCTTAGCTTCCCAAGATATGTGGTTTGACAGAAGACTGTCAGCCGAAACCCAGCCAAAGATGACAGCAGTAGAAGTATTTAAAAGAAAAGACACACTGTGACTGAGTTTCCTTTCCCTAAAATACTATCAGTGACAGTTCACTGCTGCCTTTGTGGAAAGTCCTTTTTCTTGTACAAGGGAAGTAGGGAATTTCAAAAATAAACTTGGATGCAAATAAGTTGTCTTTTCTTGATTTTTGATAAGGGGCCTCAGTGTTGGCATCAGTTTAAGAGAAGAATGGTTTTAATGGTAAGTATGAAGTTGCCCATTTGTGAAATACCGGCACTTGACCCACTACACCTAATATTCTCCACTTTACCCCAGCAAATATTGTTCAGTAAATACACACACTAGTACCTTTTGATCATAACCCTCATTTTAAATTTGACAAAAACACCTCGTAAATGTTCACACACAATAACTACAAAACACTTCGGTTTGCCCAACTTTTGGACGCTTACCACCTTGGTTGTGGTTTTGCACGGTCGAAGCTGCGGTTTACAAGGGACCGTGAAGGCAACACTCTCCTCATGTCAAAACGGAGCCATATGAGGTGAACGTGCGTTACTCGCGCATGCACTGTGGTGGTCAGGCAGCCAGCGCGTGCGTTCATTTCCTCACCGGTCCTGTCACCGCAACGTGGACAACATTTAGCAGCCTGGACGTCTTTGTTAGCCTGGTGAGGCTACTGGAGAAGAAGGCTTACTTAATGTTTGATCTCATGTCGACACTGTTCCTCATCGATCCGTTGTAAGAAAGTGTTTAAACATGGAGCAGTGGCAGGACGCGGCCTCTCAGCAGATCAAGCCTCTTACAAATCGTCTGAATGAGCTGATGTCTAAAGGCCTGGGGCTGCTGCGCTCCGAGCTCGGGATGGATCTGGGACTGAAGCCTGAGCTGATTCCATCATGGGTGATCCTCTTATCGGTGTGCACAGGGCTGCTGCTCATGGTGGCTCTCTGGGCCTCCGCCTGCCAGGCTCTCTTCAAGACACGACCAGCTGTGAGGCCAGCTGACGATGACTTCCGATTCAAGAGAGGGGTCGTCAACATCAAACTTGAGGAGCCGAAGAGGAAAAAGAAGGATGCAGGAAAGGCACGTAAATTAAACCAGTCTAAATATCTGCACATGCTTTTTTTTTTTTGGGCCATTCCGTTAGCAAAGTTGACTGTCGGGCTCCAGTGAAAGTGTCTGACCTGGCAATGCTGGCCTCAGATTGAGTTATTTAATGATTGCTCGAGGAAAGGAGGTGGATATAGTGTATATTATATATTTGTCTTCACCAATGCCTTCCAGAAAGCCCTGCCTAATGGGAGAGATGTTACTGAACCACAGGAAGAGCCCATTGATGAGATAGAGCCATGTCAGCTGTCAACCCCCCAGAAGGTAAAGGATGAACAAGTCTCAGGGTTAATTTGCTCTATCAAGGCAAGGCAGGTTTATTTCTATAGCACATTTCAACAACAAGGCAATTCAAAAGTGCTTCACACAAGACATCATAAAGCATCATGACAGAGGAAAGAAAAGAAACATTAAAATAGAACATTTAAAAATCACTGAAATGATTAAATCTGAACATATGTTCAAATAAAAATTAATTGAAATAAATAAAGTAAAAGTTACAGTGCAGAGTTAAAATTTAAAAACGTATTAAAATAGTTAAATGAAAGGCAGCTGATGTATTCAAGACATATGCCAAAACAGTTCTGTGTTTTGTTTTTTTAACATCTTGATTGGCCCAGTGTGATGGACATGTTTTACAGGAATGATTGTAAAGTGACTTACACCTGCTGAAAAGTTCTGATCAATGAAAAGAGGCTGGATACAAAGAATTCTAAAGGTGCTGGAGGTGAGAAATAGTGCTTGCTGAAAGATGATATGTAGGGCGTCTCGGATAGTGGTCACCAAAAATAGACGCTTCTAGCATGCTGAGCAGATTGGACTGTCATGGTAAACTCAGATTGGGTTTCCCTATCGAGTTACTTTCTCGGTCACATGCTGTGTCAGGGCTCCACGTTTCGGTTTTAACACTGGTTGGTCCTTCTCCCGAAAATCCTGAGCGTTAGACACAAATTCCTGTATATAGTCTACTCATATTTGTCATTATATTGTTTTTATTTGTACTTAACAAAACACAAAATCAGTTTATTTCTTTTTAATAATAAATATCTGGCTTGTGTTACTCACATTCATTTTTCCATTTCTCATTAGTTGCTCTTAGACACATATATACCAAGCACAAGTTATTGAAGAACTCTATAAAAGTGCATAGTGTGTTATATTATTATTAAAAGTAGTATGTACAAAAAGTGCGGCGTTGAAGAAATAAATAATAATAAAGTAATACTGAGCTATTGTGTATATCATTAATGCAGTGTTGTCTCAGTATTGCATTATCGGATAGATTCTTGAACTGTTAAGATTCAGATTGTACATTTTAAATAACAAATGAATAATGGAGGGTTTTGCAGTTGTCAGAGTGAAATAGTCCGGGGTCAGGCAGAGTGTTTGAGGGAGAAGTTGTATAGTTTGATGGTCATTGACAGGAAGGACTTGTTGTGTCATTCTTTGGTGTATTCGTTGGGAAATCAGTCTTTCATTGAAGTGTTTTTGTCACAGTTGTGTCAGCTTCACAAACATAAAGCAGCAAGCCTCTAGTGAAATGAAACTCCTGAAGACTGACTTTAAAATAATGAGTCATAATGTGTTATCTCTAGAAGTGTTTAATTTATCTTTGCTAATGGTTAAGCTTTAAGACAGAAAAGCAATGCAATACATGAATTGTTATATCTAGGTTATAGTAATGATGGCAGATAGTTGTATGGTCCCAGCTCAATGCTGCACAGCCTTACCACTATAGCCTATTTTCTTTAAACCTCTTTCTTTTCTCTCATGATGATTAACTTCTCTACTATACAATTCAATTTCTCTTTTTTCAGTCAAAGAAGTCAAAGAAGAAGATCAAACAGGCTTATAAGGAGACCAAAGCTGTGAAAGCAGATGGCAAAGAACCAGAGGAAGGTGATATATTATTGAAGACCTTTTTGTTTTTGGTCAAAGTAATGTCTGGGTATGGTATCATCAATTTGAGGAGGCGTCTTATTTGTTTCATTTTAAGCAACTATTTCTTTAACCAGGCACCACATATAGCAACACATGCACATTTTTAAATCCATTTTAACATGGCCATGATTTAAAAAAAGGAAGTGTATTTAAATCTGACTTCATGCAGGAGTGAAGCAGGGAGAAGGATGCATTCATATTGCATCACATCTATAGGTGATGTATAAATGTGTTTTTGTTCCACTACCTGACAGAGAAAACAAAATGGATCTTATTTAAGAGTCTTTTTCTCAAAATACATTCTTAGAGGGAATTTGAAAAGCCTCTGCTTCTATAATTCTTTTCCTGTCTAATCCATACCACGTCTCCTCATTCCTCCCGTAATAAGAGCCACGTGAAATGTTGCAATAAACAACTCGCTGGACTCGATGCTTATTTTTCAGGTTCATGGGAAACGAAGGTGAGCAGCAAGGAGAAGCGTGAGCAACGAAAGAAAGACAAGAGTTCAAATGATGGCCCAGACAGTCCGGGTGGAGGAAACGCACCAGCGAGCGCCCCTCCAGAGCAGCCCAAGGCCTCCGCGCTTCTCAGCCAGAAAAAGAAAAAAGGCATGTTTATCTCATTTTGGGAATCGGTTTTCTCAAATGTTTAGATTTGAGGTTAAAATGAAGGAGTTTCCCACAGTGTTGTGTTTTGCTTGTACACAATAACACAAAGAACTATAAGGGTGTAATGGGTTTTTTTTACAGACTGAAAACATGACTTGTAAATGAGTTGATAAAATGTTGTAGGTGTGTGTTTGTGTATGATGAGAAGAGAAGCTATTGTTACCATGACTTATAATCATGCAAATATAAATATTGAGAAAAAAGAAAAGATAAATACCCAGAAGATTTTTTTTTTAAAGCGCCAAGTGACAATAAAAAAATAAATAAGTTGTCATAGTTAGAAAAGGTCTTAGGGAGTGGCTCTGATGGCCTAGCAGTTAGGTCTCGCGCCTTGCCCCATGCGAGGCTTTAGTTTGTAATGCGGTCGGCCCAGGTTCAATGAATCATCCAAATGAAGGCAAAAAAAAAATGTAAAGGAAAAGGGCTAGGGAACAAAAAGACAAAAAACGCAAGAAAGAAGTAAAAGAGAAGAGAGAGATTTCCATGACAACAATGATAAGTAGAAAAGAAAATAGCAATGACAGTAAGTTGTAGACTGCTCTTCTGTTTTTGTCACATTGCATGTGGAGGCTTATTGATGATTGATTGAAAGTCGTCCTGTTCCAAGCAGTTTGCTCTTTTTTTGTATCTTAATGTGTCTTTTTCAGGGTTTATTTTGATGCCAAACTCAGCTAAACTTAACACAGCAACCTCTGCTATTAGTATGTGAATGGGGAGGTGTGACCTGCACTTTAATTAATCAGAAAAGCGTCATACAAGCTCAAACCATTTACCATTTACTTTATTTTCAAGGACATACAGAGTTGGAATTGCTCTACTGATCGCTGGAAAGTTTGCGTGGGACCTCCTATTAGTTACGCGTCACGGTTACCACGTTGTCTCACCTCCCAGATGGTTTTCTAGTCGTGGCTGCCCGTGTTTGTGAATTGGCAAGTTCTTGCAATGAAGCCTATTTGTAAAGAAAGGAGACAGTTTTCCCCCCAAATGACTCCACCATGTTACATTTTATAGGAACAACAAGCACTGGTGCAAAGAGACACAATTATCTGTGCAGCGTACTTCAAGATGTATTTAGCAGCCCCCGTGTGTTTTGGAATCAGAATCACATCAGCTGCAGAAACATATTCAAACAAAGGCGTAAGAAGCTTCTGTTTTAAATGAATATGAGACGTTGCACCTCCGTCAGTGCATTAACGCCGGGGATGTACCTGCTAGCTCTCCCTCCCTCCTCCCTCCCTCCCTCCCTCTTCCCATGGATAAAAAAGGTTTGAAAATATACTTGGATGGCCATTAATATACCTGGCTCCAGAACTCTGTGAGGTCTGGGCGCTCTATCTCTATCTCCTCCTCCCTCCCCCCATGGATAAAAAAGGGCAAAAAATATACTTAGACGGCCATTGATATACCTTGGTGGCCCATGTATCATCTGTTTCTGGGAAACACTGAATCAACAAGTTTGTGAGCAACTGCATAGCGTTTAATGCTGTAATTATTTCTATATATTTAAACAACAAACACATTGAGGTAAACCTGACTTTTTCATTTCATGGTACCAAATGGAGGCGTAGCAATGTGACTTGCGGTCTTCGGTCTTTCCCCAAATAATAATTTATATCTTCTCGTGATTTTTTCTGTCATATTTCAGCTTGGGATGCTGATAATAGGCCCAATGCAGCAGACACTGATAACACTGTACATGTCTGTTGATGTGGTTCATCTGCACACTGCAATTTCTATACAAAAAGGCCTTCCCCAGTTTAGAATGCCTTGAGTTTATATAGAGAACAGTCTATATAGAGAGAGGCTTAAAGGGAAATGTAATTGAGTCTTGTTTGAGTTTGCTGTAGTCTTTTAGTTGCAGTGTTGGTAAATGATCATCATATTTCTACATGTTACTCTTGTGTAATTTATAGTTTTGGATAATAAGGCAGAAAGGATTGAGGCTGTAATGCTCCAAAATATATTTGATCAAAAAATCCATTACCCATTGGTTTTACTCAAGCAACAATATCTCAGTTGTGCTTAATTGACCAGAAGTGTGTATGCCTAATGTAAATCTGTTGTTGCAGTGGTGACTCCCTGTATCACTGATGTGGCTGATGAGGTTCCTGCTCACGTTGCTGCTCAGAAGACTGACCCCTGGACATCCAGTAAAGAAACGCCATCACCCTGGAGGGCTGAGATTGATGGTAAAATGATTTCTCTCTACTACTTAACTTCTTGGTGGTTTCACCCTCCTCCACTGCTCCATGTCATTTCCTAAAGCTGATAACCTCCATACTGGCTGTAGTGACGGATGTATTGATGAACTAATTGATAAGATGAAAAGCTATATATTCAGACATTAGCAGAGGTTAAATATTGTTATTTAAGTCTTATTTTAAAGATTTTGATGTAAAACACAAAAAAAAGCCATCACACAACTAAAAAAAAATAGGAATTTATCAGAAAATCGTTTTTAAATAAGTGCATAAATAAAAAGCATAATTCAAGATATGAAGCATTTTGCTGGATTCAGATTTTAAAAATGTAGAATCTTTTATTGTCATGTGGAATCTTAAAAAGCTTCCCTGTTTGCACTGTTGGCCAAAATACAATAAAAACAGCCTCTTTTTTTGTTAGTTTACTTATTAGATTTTTAATAGAACAAATAACGAATCAATTAATTAAAAAAATAGTGAGCTCTTTAACCAGGACAGCTTGTCATCAAAATAGGTGCCGATCCACCCTGACATATTCCCTTCTACCCTCCCAACTGTATGAGCCAGCCATCCAAATAATGTTTATAGATGGATTACAAACCAATTTCTTTATAGATGTTTTACAAACGGCTTCTTAAAGGTTTACAAATCATTTGGTAATCATTAACAAACACTTTATAAAGTGTATAAAATGTTATAATGTGTGCAATAATAAACTGTTATTTATTATTTTTACTGTAACATAACATAAATTATAGCATTACAAATAATTAGCAAACATAATTAATCATTTCATTGTTTGTTAACAGTAAAATAACTATTAACTGAAGGTTAATTAACTATGAATTGACCCTTTATTGATGATGGTTATTATAAAGTGACCTGATTATATTTTAGGGGCGTGTATGAAAGCTTTACAGCTTGTCCTAACAGCACGCGACACGAGCGAGCATCAGCAACAGAAACAGCCTGATTCAAAAGTTTCCTGTTGGAGTGTCCTAACTGCCCGAGAGCGACGTGCTGTATTTATCCCGACGCCCCAGTTCTATTTTCCTTTCAGTCGCTCGTGTAGACAAACGAGGAAGGAGGTGACTCTACAAGCCACTGACACTCGCGTTCTGTGTTTTGATTTGTTGTGTTTTGATTTGTGTCAACAACACCAGAGAAAAACATATTTTCCGCTCAACGTGAGCCGTCTATTGACGAGCCTCTGAGTGTTGGCTATTGAGTCAACAGCTCGTCAGTACAAAGCAGCACATATCCGTTTGTCCACCTTCAATACAAAAGCCCTAGATGTCCTACTGTTTGCAAAGGGGGAACGGAAATTCACTGCACAGAGAATTCATTATTTAACGGATGCAGAGTGGACAGCCGGCGTGTGATCATGCGTGATGTGACTGTTAGGACAAGGTGTTAGAGGTTATATTACAGCTGCAGCCCCGATGTGTCAACCAAAGAGTATGTGAAAAAATCATTTAATGTGATAAGTTCACGTAATTTAACATCTTAGCACAACTTCATAGATCCAGATATTTTTTTAGTCTCTGTCAAAGGATTAGGGATAATAACATTAAAGAACAATTCATTATTATAGTTATAGTTACCATGATGTCATACAAGTGAAATGTATATGTTGCAGAGTCATGGACTGTGATTGAGAGGGGGATTACTACAGCAGAGGGAAATCTTTCTTTACCTGGAAGTAGTGCTGGTACTGCTGGTAAGTAAAAAAATAAAATAAAAAGATGTCACAGTTTTACAAAAGCCAGGAGCACATCCCGACATGCAGAATGTTTCAAAGCATGTGGATGGGCGCTTTAGGTAACAGTTGTTTTGTTTTTGTAGAGCCACAACCTGTGATGGAGTCACTCTGGCTCAGTGAGCCCAAAGTGGGAGACGAGTGGTCTGGACTTCGTAAGAATAATATCAAAACATTTTGATCTGCTTTATTTAACTTCAATTTGAAGTTCTGAATCTCCTTTTCATCTTTTACAAACTTTTTTTCTGATGTTCATTTGTGTTTTTTAGACGGTGGTTCACTCGACCCCACTTCTGACTGGAACGCCCCTGCTGTGGCCTGGGGCAACTTTGAGGGGGGCAACTGTGAGGAGCCCACTCCTGAGCCTCCTCAGACTCAGGAGAAGCCCCAACCTGATCCTGCTCCGGTTCATTTGCTTGTAGGAGTAGCTGTAAGTATGCCCCAAACAAATTAGCATTATGGGTAGTGATTGTTAGAATTTGTATAGATATCAAAACCTGTTTGAGGTAATAATGATTGAATGAGGATTCATTTTGTTTTAGGTTACTTAGGGGTGTCTGAAATCATGTAATAGAGTCAACTGTAAAGTCAATAAATCATCGTACTTTTAGCTGCTGCCGTATTTCTTATTTTGAATCATTTTCAATCCATTTGTGTTTCTAAGCCTGATGAGGAAGATGAGAAAGTGGAGGTAGAGACTGCTGCTGATGGAGCCGATAAAGTGAAAAAGAAGAAAAAGAAGAAGAAGAAAGCTGCAGATGATGAAGAGGCAGGTTTCCATGAGATGTCTCGTGATGATCTATATATAAACATGTTTCCATATGTATATTTTGCTAACCTTTTTTTTATTTTTTTAACCATAAAAGGCTTTACATTTCTCTGCTAGTTTTCCGTTGATATTTTGATAGCTCGTTCCAGTTCCTTGGCCCAACGATAGATAGATAAATACTTTATTGATCCCGAGGGAAATTCAGATCAACTAGCAAATGATCAGCTGCTTCATATAAAGGAATTGACATCTCAAAATTGACTTGGATTTCACAAGAAAGCTTGTACACCAACCTAGCTTTTATCACTTTGTCCCAGGGCGAGGAGCGGGAGAAGGAGATCGCACTTACAGCCACGGTGAAGAAGATACCACCTCTTCAAGAGAATACTGCTGCTGTCCAGCCTGTAAGAGCAGCTGATGCTGAGGTTAGTTGTTGATGCTGATTACTCTAATGCAATGCTTGACAAAAAAAAAAAAAAAAAAAAATGTAGAGTTGGAGGGGTTTGAATACTGTGTTTACCTAAAACTAGAAACATAGTCAAACTAGAATGTGAGAGCTGGCAAAGCTTTGAGAATACGCATCAGCCATCACTGTTACAGCTGTCACTGTTTAGTCTCTCCTGAAGCTTTTTCAACCTCCAAACTAAAGCTAAAATTTTCAAAATCCTTAAACACCAACTATAGGATATCCTCTGTCAGTTGGTACAAACTTGTTGAGGGGTGCTGTTTTTAATAGCAGCACATAGGAGTTTTACAAAACTAGGTTGAACAATAAGAACCATACACAAGCATGTCAGAGAAATGATGTTGAGAAAGTTATTTATCAAGTTTAAAAAGACATCAGACTTTTGAAATACACTTGTTTTATTGTTACCACAATTTCCAAAATGTACAAAATAAAATCACACAATAGTCTGATAGTTTCTTGAGCACTGTTGAAAAAATGACTGATATTTGATCAAACATTTATGAAAAAGGTTTTGGGCAACTCATTGTCTCAGATCAATTCATTATGCAAATCTATCCCCAGAGCCCTGGCCAAGCACTCTGATGAATGCAATCTGTATCTTGAATGGTTGGTGTAGGCAAACAAACACTAAATGATTATTCCAGTTTGTAACTGTGGTGGAATTGTGGATTTAAAGTGCATTTATAAAGTGCAGTAATTTATTAATTTCTTGCTGAAGGGATCAAGACTTACACTGTTGCCCTTTCCTTATAGTTTAGACTGGAGCAGCTTGTGAAGGACAACATATCTAAGACCCAAGTGCCACAAATGTCGTCTAATGATGAGCCCATTGCCAAGAGGAACAGCCCTGCTGCTCCGCAACAACAAAGTCAGTATGCCATGTTGAATCTAACACCAAAAGCTCACACACACACACACACACACACACACACACACACACACACACACACACAGATCCACAGACACTCCACAATATAAAGGTCAATCATGCACACTAAGCAACTTGGAATCTATCATACATTTATTCTCTTTACTAGTCTAATATTTACTCTTACCTTATTGGGCTACACATTTTATTAATCATCATCAAGTTTCATATTTGAAGCACCATCTTCTGTCAGAGCTACACATGTGTATGCATGAAGGTCAATGACTAGCAGAGTCTAATACAAAACAAATAAATAGAACTCAAATCCAGACTTTGCCTCAAGGGGCTTCACAACCAAAGGGAGTCCTCTCTCCTTAAACCATTCACATGGATTTGTAAAAGTGTCATCATTTCGACACATCAGTGCAAAATAGGTTCGGCAGTGGTAGAGTCGGATGCTCTCAAACTTTTGGGTCGGGGGTTTGATCCCCAGCTCCTGCCGCCACATGTCCGATGTATCATTGAGCAAGACACTCGACCCCAGATTGCTCCAGCCGCTTTGTCGGCGGCACGTCTGTGGATTATAGCCTGACCGATTAATCACACCCCAATCTTTTCTAGCTTCCTAATATTATCAGAACAAAGCATTATCTGTGTCCTGATGTCAAAATGTACATCTTTTTCATTCACTGTCTCTGAGCAACACTTTGTAATCTGTTATGTGATTTTGAAAGCTTTGAAGATTAATAGGAGGATTTTAATGACTTGTGCCTTTTTTTACATTTTTGTGTTTCCCCAGAAAAACCTGAGGAGATCCAAACTGCAAAGCCTTCAAAGAAGAAGAAGGCGAGAAGAGAGACATGAGAACATGTTCTGAAGACTTAAAGATACTGTTTATGCAACACATTCTGTGATAAGAACTTTGAACAAAACTCTTCATGATGGATTTACATCTTAAAAACTGTCTTGAAAAAATATTTAAACATCAAGTGTCTGCCAATGGATTATTAAAAAAATGAACCTAGATGCAGAGCAGTTGTAGGTGATGCAGTGATTTCTTTTAAGAAAACTCTTTTTTTTGGACGTTTTTGCCTTTTGTTGGTTAGGAGCAGCTGAGAGAGACTGATGGGAGGAGAGAGTGTTGGATGTCATGCAGCAAAGGGCCGAGGTCGAATTTGAAACCATGGCCGCTGCAATGAGGGACTTAAGTGTCCATACATGGGGCATGTAACTTAACCTCTAGGCTAACAGCGCCCTGATGATTTCTATGCTTTTGATACTCCACATTGAAAGGGCTGGTGTGCAACAGGGCGTGTAGAAAAAACTTATCAAGTGTAAAGATTGATTATTGTTTTTATTGTATAAATCAGTCAACATCTTTCAACTCATACAACACCTTGTCACAATTATGAGCTGGATCTTGCTTCTGCAATTTCATATTTTGGCTCTTTTGTGAGCCTGTGGTACATCAAGTACTTCTGGGTGAAAACTACTGAAAGACCCAATCTCTTCACTGAACAGTTTTTTGTCTCTTTAAGGTGTTAAAATTGGTGCATCATTAGTTACAGTAAAGAGAATCTGTGTGCTTATGCATTCTCATCTATAACTGCTTCCTTTCAATTGACTCAGTCTTTCTGGCTTGTTGTTGGACTAGTGTTATAATGAAGTGTTTCATGTCAAATGTTACTGCTGCTGTTTCTTTGTATCTCTGGTCAGAACTGTGTGGGAGCATCTTAACCGTATGTACCAATATCAAAAACATTTTCTCATTTAACTGTTGTCTTCACAAAGTTTTGTATAACCGTTTGTAAGAAAAGAAAAGCTAAAGACTAAATAAAGGCCAGTTTTTCTATTTTATGACTTCTTATATATATCATTTTTTAGTTAAAAAAAAAGGTTGCTCTTTCAATTTTTAATGTAAGTGCATGACAGAGAACCAACCACCAGAACAAGGAGAACGTGAATGCAGCAACACTAAAATGGTCCCAAATAAAAACCGAATCACCCAGGATGTCGTGGATTTAACGACATGGCTGTAGTTAAATCATACATGTCAACAGACCTGTTTTACCTCAACAGGATTTTGCTAACTGAACTCCCTCATGGTTCACTGTTCTCTACTATTGAGCCACAGCCGCCCTGTGAAGTAATATTGCACATGTTAAAGAACACGACAGAGCCATATGTGAGAAAAGTGCAATATGCATGTAACAATAAAAGATTCAAAGCTTAGTATATGCTGTGTAAAAGCACTTTGAGTAGTCAGAAGACTCGAACACAAGCTCAAGTCCATTTACCATTTACCAGATAAGAAAGTCATAGTGCAGAATGTAATGAAATATAATTGTACATAATATTTAACATGATATGGAAATCAGTTCAGAGGATTAGCTCTAACATGAGAGGGGAGGGAGGTAGAGCCTGCAGTCATCAGGCTATCGTCCACAGAGCAGAGGGGTAAGAAGAAGGGGGCTGCTGGCCAAAAACTAATGAACATTGAAAATGACCACATGATGAACCAAAATTAACTTGAATAATGCTCTGGAAGAGGAACAAAGGGATATTTGGGAGGGGGGGAAGGTGGCAGAAGCAAGAGAAACAACAGGATTACTCTCTGGATATCTAGAGTCTGAGAGGTGAGATGATTGAGAGTTTAGGGTCATTTCATTTGAGTCTGTGTAGAGTCCAAGAGCTCTTCATCTGATCATGTTTTCCCACCAGAGCTCCTTGAGTTGTGATGAATGGATTCTGGGCCCACTGTGTCCATTGGATTCATTACTTTGGAAATAATGCACAGGAATCCTGGTGACAAGAGCGTGTAGACTTGTCGAGCAAGTTCGACCTGCTGGACGGAGGCACTGGAGAAGCAGGGAAACAAAGGGGTTAGATCACCGGCAAAGCACTCAAACTAAAGATACTTACATTCAATTTGAGAGCCGAGATACCGCTGAAGTAGCAGGTCCATCTTTTTTTAACAAATATTTGTTGTGCCATTTTAATGTCAAACCCAGGCCTTCAGGGTGATCCAATCACGGGCTGGCAGCCATTTCTTAAGGTATAAAGAAACCCTGGACCAAACATACAGTTTCTAAAATGTCCATATAGTACACTTTAAATCATTAGTAATGTTTAAAACACAGGAGGAACAGGTTCCAATGAGAAAATCAGGGGGAGAAAACAAGTCAGAGATCCAATGTATTCAAAGTCTGTTATAGTTAAATGATAATTCAGCAGAGTAAGTGGCTGACGTTTCACAGAGGAAAAGGAGATATAACATGTATGTCCATCCTTTTGCAAGGCTCCATTGACTGATCCTGTATTTTACAGCACAGTACACTATAATGCATAAAGTACATGTTGTTGAATACATTTCCACATAGGCAAACTTGAATGACATACTTATTGATTTGACCAGCAAATACTTCTTCACAGCCTTGCAAGGCTCTTAAACTTATTGTATGAATGAACTATTAGTTGCTGGCATGTGGTTTAAAGCACTTTAAGTGGTCAGAAGACAAAAAAAAGGGATCTGAAAGTTCAGTCTGCTAACCATATGAAAAAGAAGGGTGAAAAACTAGACTTTACCACCAGGTGGTGGATTTCCCCAAGTGGGACACTCCTTCGGGGGAAGGGCTTTCACTCCATGCACATGTTTGCCTCCTCCTCCTCCTCCTCCTCCATGAATAGTGCGACTGTGAACAGAAGCAGTCCGGAAACATTCAGCAGTTTTGCATGCACTGCTTTGCGGCATTATTGCAGCATTCTCTGTCTGGAGAGGGCAGGAGGCCATGCAGAAACATACAAGGGGAAAAGGGGAGATAATGGTGCCCAGTTATTTTTAAGAGTTCAAGCTTGTTTTTCCACTGCCAGACAGTGTCTCTCTTCGACACACTCTTAGTATCTATAATAGCATTCAACCTTTCTTTTGGGTTTTTTGAAGCTAACCGTTTTTTCCAAACATGGGGTGCTCCTCATCCAGTGCACAGACTGTTGACCAAGAGAAAAGGCCAGGTACAAAACCAGAAGAGAGCAATGGAGACACACTGGGTAAGTAGAGATCAGTCGTGCAGAAGTAACTTCTTTTTCAAAAGTGTCATTAATCCTTGTTTGATGTTTGTCTGAATTATGATAAAGGCATTTCTCAAGATATAAGATCATCTGCGTTACTTTTGATTTGTTTAAGTTTGCAGAAGGTGGTGTGTGTCTCCTCCTGGTCTGGCCGGTACACTGTGTGCTTTCTCACTCTACTGTTCTGCACAGCACTGTACTGTAGGTCCTCAGAGAGAAAACCATTTAGTGTTAACTGTTTCCTCAGAAGTACCTGACATTTATTTATTCACCAGTCATTTTAAGCTTCATGGACAGTGATTTGTTAAACTTTGTAAACTGACTGGTATGAATTATTGAACAAAATTAGATCTGATAAGTTTCATATCCCTTCATCATTCAATAAAGCTAATTTGGTGTTTGCATGTTTTCATGAACATTATTGACTGAACTAAACAAGTCAAAGATATCATTCGTACAGTTGCCATGTGTCAAAGCCAGATGGGAGTGTAAAGCAGTATATCTGCAGCATGAGGTAAAAGTTGCAACCAAACCTGTTTGTCCCTCTACTGAAGTCTGACTTGAGAAAAGACAAAACCAGGGGGGTAGTGTGCATCTTTTCCATTTATTCCAGAAAAAAGTGGTATGGCAAAGTTTTCTCAAAAAGTCAGTGGCTCACCGCGATCTCCACATCAAGTTTGCATTTCTGCTGATTCCTTCAGAACACAGATTTCATAGCTAGTTGATGACGTGTGTATTGTGGCTGTTCAGCGTTCCCCCCCCTAAATTTAAACAAAGCAACCATGGACAGTTATAGGTAAAAAAACAACAACATGTTTTTATTTGTATGTGACAACACAAGGTTATCTATTGATATTTCCTAGAAAGGTTTGCAGTTAATTGAAATATTTTTGTATGATTTTCAGTCTTAAAATATGTGAGCACAGTATTGTCAAAGACACAAAAACATACTGAAGATTTGTTTTTCTTTCTTTAATAAAATATAAAACTCCCATTCCTTGTTTTTTATAAAAGTTCCAGCCCACTCATGCATTGCACACCTGACGTGACGTAACTTCATGAATTATCTTCTGCTGAGGTTTAAGGTAGATAGTGAAAGTAAAGCAGGACAAGAGTTTTTTCTTTTGAGATTACCTTCCACTGCTTCAGGTTATATAAGCAGAAGGATGTCGAGCAGCTTTGTACACAACGGCTGCCAAAATTTGCACAGAGCTAAAGTTCATACCAGTAGCTTTGAGGAGGGTTTGTAATTTGCTCCAGGTATTTATAGTCACATAAAACAAAGGAGATACTTGGCTCCTTTTGTTTACAGGCTACTCTGAAATTCCTTGAAATGACACTGCAAGGCCTGGCTCGGAAACAATTTTGCATCTCAAGAAGGTCTTGCTGTACCTGTAACTGGTTTGTTTAGCTTTTCTCAGTGACTTGTATAAGAGACCAACATAAGGCCTATCAAACATTGTCACAATGGCTGTCTGTTCATGGAACGTACTGGCACATGGCTGTCGTACCAAGCACAGCTGCATTTAGAGTATGTGTTCACTTTATCTCCATATAAAAAAGATTAAAGGACGGCTATTTCCATAAAGCTGAAAATATTTCATCTGTACATGTGATTGCTATAGTCAAATAAACATTTTGATTTGAATAAGAAACAGGATAATAGTTCAAGGGGTTAGTAAACAAATGTAAAACCAAAAATAATTGTTACTTAGTTGTCAAAGCTGGCATAGCCCCTCCTTGTTCCTTTGTAATGTATGTGACAGGGTATTGTCTCCTCAGGCAATGGACACGGTCACCTGGAGAAGCCCGGGTCCCTTTTCCAGCCTCTTACATCATCGCCAATAAGAAAGCAGTTATTGTACTGTTTGGTCAGACAGGCTTCTCTTAAAGTGTCACATTCTGTATAACAAACCAGTTATATGCAAGCCAAGCTGCTGCTGGTCCCATCCCTGTCTGTCCCCCTTCTTGTCTCTGTGCTTTTTTTTTTGCCAGCCACGGCTCTGTTTTGACTGGGAGCTCTGTCATTTCTGGCGGCTAAATCATGTAGACACACCAGTCATCCATGTCTGGAGCGGCTGGCTCTGTCTCTACACACACACACACACACACACACACACACACACACACACACACATCCACACTCTTTAAAACCCAGTCCTGCTGTGCAGACAACAGCTTTGTATTCTCTATGAACACCGGTCTAATAACTTCTGCTTTTATAATTCTAAACTCTTGGCAACATTTTTTTTTACAATACTAGAATTATTACGCTCAACATAAGCACTTTGTTTTTGTGTTTGCTAATTTGGGTTGCAAGGCCGTCACATTCCCTTCCACCCGTCAATCTCATCTGTCTTTACCACCTCTGACAAACAAGTGCAATCATACAGTGTCCAATCTTTTCCACCCATTCTGCTTTCCGCTTTTGAACAAAGTCACACGAGTGATTGTGCAAGACAAAAAGTAAAACACCGTTGAGGATAACTGTTTAAAAGATACCAATATGTTGTTGTGATGCCTGTATTTGACATATGAAGACACAGTCCCAGACATAGAGTTTTATTCTCCTTGCATGCTATTTACCTCATCGACTGTATGGCTTCATCACGACATCAGATATAAGAGCAGGTGTCAGGATATTAGATAAGAGGGAGGGTGTGTTTATATGTTATACAAGGTGTGTTTGATAAGATGATAAGGTTGAAAAATGTGGGAATGCATTGGCTAATCCTTTTTTATTTATAGATTGATACTTCATGTATCAAGTTCAATCAAATAAGAAATCTTCTTGAAGGCTTTATTGTTGCGCAGTGTTGTCATGTAGTTGCTTTTAGTGACATGCAGGGGTGCTAGATGAAAGAATGATTAACATATTTTTTTTAAACATTTGTTTGTCTGTCACAGCTGCTGTATTAATCAAGCACCTTTTTTTAACTTTGTATTGACAGATGGGAGAAATGCCATCAACACAGAAGAAGCACAAACCATCGAGGACCAAATGCAGTTGCCCGTGCAGACGACCTTACCGGAGGATCTTCAGCCGGGTAGTGATGACGAGGCAGAGGTTGTGTTAGTAGCCCTGGAGGCTAAGGAGGATCTTAACTCAGGGGTAGACCTTCTCCCTGTACCTGAGCCTCAGCAAGAGCCTGTTGCCACTGCAGACTCCACTACAGAGGCCGCATCTCCGGCTGAAGCTCCGGCTGAGGCCTCCGCCGAACCTGAGGCTGCTTTAGTGGTAGTTGAGGAGCTACCCGTTGTGGAAGAACCTGCCCCTGTCGAAACTACAGATACTGAAGCCACTCCAGAAGTGGAAATCTTAGTTGAGTCTACTGAGGAGGTCTCCTCAGTGGAATCTGTTGTAGATACACAGGCAGATCCCCATGCTGTTGCTGAGGAGACGACTGCTGGGATAGCTGAGGCCTCTTCTGAAATTGACCCCCCTGCTGTCGAACCTCCTGCTGTCGAACCTCCTGCTGTCGAACCTCCTGCTGTCGAACCTGTCATATCCGAGCCAACAGAAGCTCCAGTGGCAGAAGAAGAGGCAGCAGATTTAGTAACTGAGGTCCCTGTCGAAGTGGTTGCTCCTGTAGAAGCAGAGGCTCCAACTGACAATGCTGCTGTTGATACTGCTTCAACAGCACTTTGTGAATCTGCAGAATCAACTGAAGCTGAAGCACCAGTGCAAAGTGATGCACCTGTGCAAAGTGAAACACCAGTGCAAAGTGATGCACCAGTGCAAAGTGATGCTCCCGCACTGGTTGAGCCGGCAGCCCCAGGTGAAGGTGTAGCACCGGATGAAGTTTTAACAGAGAATGAAGTCTCAGCACCTGTACAGCTTGAAGATCCTGTAATAGATACCAGTATTGCTGTTGCAACAATTCCAGTGATGCCTCCACTGTCTCCAGTGATGGTCCAAGCTGAGCCTCAGCCCTCTGTTGAAGACACAACGGTGCCTTCTGCGGCCCCAGCCATCACTGCCCCGACAGCAGAGGCCTCGCCCTGCCACAGTGAAGCCGCTCCTGAGGTCGGTGCAGCCCTAGAAGCTTCTCTCGAGGTCGTATCCACCCTAGAAGACTCTGCTGCACCTTCAGCTTCTGCTCCCACGCTCTCACTTGAAGGTATGAACTGTGAATTACTCTCCTACATTTATTCTCCGTTAGTCAGTAATCATAGTTTGTTTTCTGCATTGTCGATACAATTCAATAATAACCGTCTTTTAATAAATACTAACATCGGTGATAATTACACAAATAAAACTGCAAAACAAATCGAGACAACTATTTATAACAGACATTCCTTGGTGCCACAATTGACACAGAGCAGTGTGTAGCGATCACATTTCCTTCATCGATACTGACGGCTGGAGAATGACAACAGTAGGATTCTCCTTGAAGATGTCAGACATTTTTGAGGAGGGTACTGTATGTCTTGCAGAGTTAATGACAAAGTGCTTCATTTTTTCTTTTTTTTTTGGGTGCGGGCAGACACACCCCGACACAAACACTTTAAGGATTCTTGGTGTTCATGCGTTACTTTTAATGACAGCTGTCCTGTCAATCGGAAAGGTATCCTTAAATGACTTCTTTCCCTGATTTCCGACTCTATCCACTATCTTATCTCTACAATAAAGGCACAAAAAGCCCCCCAAAAAAAGTGCCCCACAAAGTGCTTTATTTGCAAAGAACTACTTCCTAAAAATGCCTGCAGTGCAAACATTGACATTAAGGCATCATATCTTATTGAACCTGTTTGAAATGGAATGCTTGAGTAAGTCTTTACAACTCGACTGACGGCCTTTGGGTTCAGGATAGGTCAAACAATGCAGGGTTGCCACTGGCTAAAATAGCTGGAGAATCTAACTAACATGCTTGGAAGAAAAGAAAGAGATAAGCAAGCTGACAGGACATACGGGATATGTTTGGTCTGTGGATTTAAAGATAATGTAGGAAGAGAGATAGAAAACAGGCACACACTCTCAGAGGGAAAGTGAAGGCTTGTTTTGAGTGTGTAAGTCGGAGCATGTTGTCAGCGCAACATGTCCAGCCACGCAACTGTCACTGATGGTGAGTTGACTGCACGATCGTGCCCTAAGGCTTCGAAGTTACATAAGGCAAGTATAAGTGAAGTATCCTACCGTTTTGACTAGTCTTCATGTTGTTCATTTTAGAAAAAATAAATCATCAAATGATCATGTGTCTCTTCAAGTTGGTGTTTCCTCAGTACTGAAGCTGATGTGATGAATACAGATACTGACAAAGCAGCGATGTTTTGCACAACAGACCATGTTTTGTGGAATTTTAAAAAATTCCACAAAGTACAGTGGCTCTCCTGTTAAGATTTGTGGAGCACATGAATATACTGTTGTTAACGGTGAAGAATATGTACATGTATTTCTAAAACCTGTGAGTTAATTCTTGCTGGGTTTTTTTCATCATCTCACAAGATGTGCAGTAACTAGTACCCCTTTAAAGGAGAGAGTTTGGTTAGCAGCAGTCTGCACCCCCATCTTGACTCTCAGAGAACATAAAGTACTTTGAGGCAGAGAAGGGAGGCCCCTCCATGCAGCACGTGTCTGCTGTTGAAGGCATGTTGCATAACTCTTATGAGAGTTTCTCTGTTGAAGCTGTGCTGTGTGCATGCCAGACCAATTACCTTGCAGTATTGGGTGTATGTGTCTGTCAGTACGTGTGAATGTTTAGAGGCCGGGCAAATCACTAGTCAACCAGTTTAGCAGAACAATATGTGGTTAAGAGGGAATGTTTGCGCTTCACTTCTCCTCTGGCATTGTATGGAGTTATGTATTTTCTTTGTTGGTGATGTCAAACAGGACAGGCTCAAGGTGAGAAAAAAGTCACCTAATGTCTTCTCAATTTCTCTGTGTGCAGTGGTGTCTGAGGCCTCACAGGATACAGAGAGAGAAAAATCAAAAAAGGAGGATTAAATTGGTAAGTTCACAACCACAAGCCACAATGTTTATCTACATCTATCTCTATACAGTAAATGGCATCCTGTTTTCAGAATTATAACCTATTTATAACAAACTTAAAGCAATGATTTCTAAACATTTAGTTTTACATTTTTAGATATTTAGCAATGATTTCTAAATATTTAGTTTTAAATTTCTAGATATTTAGCAATGATTTCTAAGTATTTAGTTTTAAATTTCTAGATATTTAGTTTTAAATTTTTAGATGTTTAGCAATGATTTCTAAATATTTAGTATTAAATTTCTAGATATTTAGCAATGATTTCTAAATATTTAGTTTTAAATTTCTAGATGTTTAGCAATGATTTCTAAATATTTAGTTTTAAATTTTAGATATTTAGTTTTAAATTTCTAGATGTTTAGCAATGATTTCTAAATATTTAGTTGAGACTCTAAATGTTTAGCTAAGATTTCTAGATATTTAGCTAATGTGCAAATTTATGCTACAGCCAACCGGAAGCACCAAATTAAAAGTTTGATGAAGCGATCCAGCTTAATAGCTAAATATTTAGAAATCAAAGCTAAATATTTGGTTTACATTTTAAATATTTAGCTTTGATTATACATATTTTCAATCTTAACTAAATGTTTAGGATGAAGCTAAATATATACGATCAAAGCTAAATATTCAGAATCTGTCTATTTTATATGTGTGTGTGTGTGTGTGTGTGTGTATATATATATATATATATATATATATATATAACACAACAAACAGATGAAAAATGTCTACTGACACTCTTTTATTCTTTCTTTTTTTTTTTTCAGAGAGAAGAGCCTCACCAAAGATCAAAATCCATCAAGCTACCAGCAACTGGAAGAAAAACACAAGACACAAACACCAGTATTCTGTATTGTAATTGTCATTTCTCACAAACTCCACAGATTCACTGCCTTGTTAAACTATCATTTTCCTACATTTGAAATACAAGACTTTCTTTGGAGACCTTACATGCGTCCACATAATCAGGCCTTTTCAAATCAGGTGGCATTAACTCACTGACATGACATGAATTTGATTCAAATCTGTGAACTTCTGTAGCAGTGTTAAATAAAGGATGCATACTTAATATATTCTTCACTATTTATAATAGCTGCTTTTGTGAAATACAAGCCAAATAAAAATGTGAAAGCAAACGCCGTTAAGGCACAAAAACATCAACCTAGGTGATGAACACATTGCTACGTACATGACAGCGTCTTTTTTTTTTTTATAGTTTACGAAACTGATTTCAAAAGACGACATTTTCCATGGTTTTATTTAAAAGTTGTGTACATGATAAATTCTGATAAAAATTCACAAGTTTCTTTGTTTTTACTCCAAATTTGAAGTGCAGCCTTTCTTTAAACATTTACTGCATTGAAGGGAAAACTGGGTAACAGAGGGAACAGTGTAATACTGATTCAAACTCATATTCCTTATGTCTTTTTTTTTTTTGTTTTCAGACCAAAGTATGAATACAATTTGTTTTGGTGAGCACTGGGAGGGGAAAAAACAACAAAAAGGAAGATGCAAATGGAAAGATGACTTATGACAGAATGAATCATTGCCAGGAGTAGGACATGGATGCTCTTAAATACTGATACTATGCCATCTTGAGCAACTACTTGTGCCTTACTGTTCAAAAAAATGACTGTGCCTTAAAGTTCATACAATGATTTACTTATTAAGGTGTTTCAAAGTTTCATTTTAAACCCTTTACTGGGCCTGATATCATGTGAACAATACATTTTGTACTTGAGTGCATTATATACATTCTAGCATAGCAAGAGATTACCTAGTAGACATGAGTTTAGATATTTAGTTCTGCACCCTGGTTTAAAATGTAGTTTGAATATCATTTTGTGTATGATGTGATGGATGTTTGGGAAGAAAAGTCTGATGTCTGATGTCTTTTTTCATCTATTTCCTTCTGATATATTATTTCTTTTTATTATTTTTCTGAGCCTTGTTTACAGTTCTGCAAGAGAATAGAGTTATACATTCTAATAAATGTTATTTTTATTCACAATGAAATGGGTCTGTGTCTTCTTGTATGGAAAATGCATACGTTAAAAAAAAAGAAAAAAAACAGACAACCGGCTGTTGCACACTGTAGAGTGTTTATTGAAATGAGGCAACTTAAAGGCCCGGTTAGGAATTGATTCACAATTTAGATTATTTTCAAACTGAAGCAACAAATATGATGGACAAATAATGCAGGTAAAAGCTCCCTCCCATGGGACTTTACACACCAGTGTGTGTAGATATTACATTTGTGTGACTGCGTGTACATTTTTTTTACATCAAGTCTTTGGTTAAAATGTCATCATAAAAAAAATGTTGAAAACACCCGACAAAACTGCAATCTAACGAAATAGGTTTGTGTATTTTAAAGAATAATCACAATAAGAATTTATACATGAGATTGTAAAAAATAATGTTCTGGCAGGCCGTCAACCAACGATCTCAAGGAGCCTAAGAGAGCTCAAGAGCTCCCAGGAAAGAAGGTGGTTAGTGACTGAGATTTACAGATAGATACATGCAGTTATATGATGTACTGTATATGCACAGAGAGGTGCCAGTTCCCTCGGTAGTATAAGCCTATAGCAGCATAACTAGGAGCTGGTCCACACCAGCACCAGCACTAACTATAAGATTTATCAAAAAGGAAAGTTTTAAGTCTATTCTTAAAGATACAGACTGTGTCTGCCTCCCGGACCCCGGCTGGAAGACGATTCCAGAGGAGAGGAGCCCGATAACTGAAGGCTTTACCCCCATAGTACACTTAGAGACTGTAGGTACCACTAGCAGGCCTGCACTCTGGGACTGTAATGTTCTCGAGGGACAGTACGGCACTAGTAGCTCCTTAAAATAAGATGGAGCCTGGCCATTTAGAGCTTTGTAAGTGAGAAGAAGGATCTTGAATTCTATTCTAGACTGTATAGGGAGCCAGTGGAGAGAAGCCAACACAGGAGTAATGTGGTCCCTTTTCCTGGTTCTGGTCAGTACACGAGCTGCAGCGTTCTGGACTAGTTGAAGAGTCTTTAGAGACTTACCAGAGAATTACAATAATCCAATCTGGAGGTAACAAATGCATGAACTAGTTTTCTGCATCATTTTGCGACAGGATATTCCTGATCTTAGATATATTACGAAGGTGAAAATAGGCTGTTCTTGAAATTTGCCTGACGTGAGAGCTAAAGGACATATCTTGATCAAATAGAACTCCTAGATTCCTAACAGTGGTGCTAGATGCCAGGCTGATGTCATTAAGGACAGTCAAATCACTAGAAAAAGTATCTCTGAGGTTTTTGTGTGTGAAGATGTGCAATGAGTGTGTAGCAGTATTCACAGTAGGTAATAGAAATGTGTATTGCACAGTATTGGCAGGTGGATGCAGTGTTGCGGTTTGTCAGGAGGCTCAGCGTCAGCTCTTTGCGTGTCATTAGGTTGTCTGAAAGTTAAGCTGAGACAGGATTTCCAGCGACCGCCATCAACGAGCCTCCAGAGTCCCCTGCAGTAATCTATGGGTGACGTCACTTCAGCTTTGTCCACTATTATTAAGAGTATGGGGAAAAAATGGGCTTAGTAAAAGGGGTGCATATGTGACCTCCGGTGCTTTTGCAGCCAGCTTCAAGTGGACACTCGATGAACTGCAGGATTTTATAAATCCACATTGGCTTAATTTTTTAACACCAGAGGGTTGAGACGCTTGGATCAAACCATGCGGTCTGTTTCAAGTGCTTGCTCCATGTGACATATTTAATTGTTTCAAAAGCGACTGAGCACATATGACGCTTATTAGGCATTATAAATATATTTATATAATTATTATTAATTATATAATTAGGCATTAGACAAGCTTGTGTCAAATAAGCATCCCACACGTTTTCAACACTGCCCAGGTAGAGGAATGTTTTTTTGCAATGCCAGAAATATTAAATCAACAGAGCAAATTTACTTTTCTTTTTTTTTAAAACTAGGAGGGTATTATATATGTTAATAACTGTAGTTCATACTCAACCACAATAGGTGGCGGTAATGCACCTTGAAGCTGACAGCCGCCCGCCATAAACGGAAACAAAGAAGAAGCACAACACAAAATGCCCATATTTGGTAGTTCCACTTCCTTCCGCTTCCTCCACGTTTGTGATGCAGACACACTCGACACACTTGCACATGGCAGCGTCCTGGTAAGAGTCGCGTCATTTAATATGTTTGAACAGTGTTTCTGACTTGCAATCACACTGTAGAAGAATAGAATCGGATACATGCCTGTAGCCACTCTCTGTTAATTTGTGTTTTTTCTTTGGTTAATTAAGAAACGAACTAACTTGTGGTGAAGTTAGCTACCTAGCCACAGTTAGCAACAGAGCGTATTGATCATGTTGATGTTTGAAGTGTCAGCGTCTCGTTCAGCAGGAAGCGACGTGAACAGCAGGTGACTGTAATGTTTCTACCTGTCGTCTCTGTAGAAGATGTCGTCATCTAAAGCGAAGATGTGGGAGAAGAAGATGAGACACCAGCCCACCAGTGTCCAGTATTCATCCACTCCAAACGGAGGAGACGCTCCGGTGTCCGGTACTTATCTGTGGTGGTCCATGTGCAGGCTGTGTGCAGACTGTGTGCAGACTGTGTGCAGGCTGTGTGCAGGCTGTGTGCAGGCTGTGTGCAGACTGTGTGCAGACTGTGTGCAGGCTGTGTGCAGGCTGTGTGCAGGCTGTGTGCAGACTGTGTGCAGACTGTGTGCAGGCTGTGTGCAGACTGTGTGCAGGCTGTGTGCAGGCTGTGTGCAGACTGTGTGCAGACTGTGTGCAGGCTGTGTGCATCCTCCTCCCCTCTTATGTGTCAGAATATCAAAGGGTCAACACATTAAGGTCGCAAACAGTGTCCCTTCTGACTCCCAGCAGTGTATTAGTGTGTTTTTAATTGTTAAAATAAATAAATACATTGTTAAATTACATGTTATAAATAAATAAATAGTCACTGTGGGTGTCACATTTCTGCCCCAGGTTAACTTTATACTTTAATATTCAGCATTTCTTTGAAGTTACATAATCTATGCAAAATTTGTTTTAAGTGCTGAAACTAAATAAAAATAATATCTAAAGAATACATATTTAAGGTGAGCTAAGATAATAGAATTACTTTATTGATCCCAAACTGGGAAATTGTGTTGTTACAGCAGCAGGTTATCCAAACACACAGAGTAAAAAAAAACACAATGTTAGCAAATCTAAATATAATATTAAATACAAAGTAAATTAGCACAAAATATCAAAACTAAGAATGTGAATATATATATATGTACAACTAGGATTTAACTAAGCATTACTAGTCTTAAATAGGAAGATTAAATGTAAATGTGCAAGAACAGAGTCATAAATGGACAGTATTGACATAGGGCAGGAGTGGGCAACTGGCGGCCCTCGTCAACCCTCAATGTGGCCCTCAGGTCAATTTTTATATATTAAAACATGACAAAGTCTGCCATGAAATCATGAAAGCCAGAAATATGTCCATAATAATATTTGATCACTGGTATATGTTGAGTTACATTTGAGACATAATTGACTGTTATTGTTTTTGTATCCTACAATTTGGCCCCTGGCAGTCAGAATTAAATGAATGTGGCCCTTGCTGTGACCAAAGTTGCCCATCCCTGACATGGGGAGCTGTGCGATCAGTGATGCTGTAAGTTAAAGTGCGTGAGTGTAGACATGTTATAAGCAGAGACTGTTCAATATAAGGGCGAGTAGACAGACAGATGAAGTGAACATGAGTGCAGGGATAGTTTGTAGATTTAAACATGTGCAGAACAGATTACATTATGGAGAGACAGATATTATCATGATGACAGTTCTCTGCTGCATGAGGTGAGCTGTTACCTCAGAGTTATGGCCTTCGGTAGAAAAGATTTCCTGTATCTGTCCTTGTGACAGCATAATAAGTAAGCATACAGTTTAGTAGCAACTTAGAACCCCATACCACTTTGTTTTTGTTTTTTTATCATGCTTTGTTTCAAAAACAGAAATATGGATGAAAATTTAAATTACCTTGGTTAGTTAAAGCATGCTTGTATGCATTCTGAACTTGCCTGTGATTGCCAGTAATGACAGAATAATACTATTTCCAAAGGTCGAAGTTGTAATGATGGCCCATCTGGCATCGAGCGATCTACAAAAAGGCCAAACAACCCTCACCAACAGAGTGGATGGGCCTGTGGACACCAGAAAGGTGGGGGAGGCTACGCCACGGACATGCCCAAGGCCATAACAGGTGAAGACATTTTCTAGATTTTTTTAAGAGGTCATTTGTTACTGTATACTGTAAACGGGATGTTTTGTGTTGAAGGATTTGTAACAGCTCAACAACCCTAATGATTGCCCATTGAGATATCCTGATGGCTATTGGGATTTATTTTACAACCACACGTTACATTTGACTTTCTCGGTGTCCTTCATTTCAGTGTACAGGATTAGAAAAACTCTGTGATACCGTATAATTTTTATTTTTGTAACGATAATAAAATCTTAAAATTTTTAATAGCACAAACAAACGTGTAATATATATTGCATGTTCTTGCAAGCCGTGTTCTTCTCACCGTTAGTGGTCATAGACATATTCCACTCCATGGCTCTTCAGTGCACTGCCAGCAGCCTGATAGTGCCCACATGTTATGAGGGGACTACACAGTGATTTACTTTGTGTGCAAATTGGAAAAGGTCTGCGGACCTACATGAACGATGCCACACTGTATTGCCCTCAATATTCTTATCTGTAAAAAATCACATAAAGCCAATTAAGTTTTTTGTCATTAAGATATTCTCGCAAAGACAGAACATATGTGGTTGATGTAACCTCTGTTTACAACTTCCCTAAATAAATGGTAAGAAAAGTGATGTTGTTTTTTGGGATCCGATGCATTCCTGTGGATTAAATTGAATATTTTTCTGTACTCCTTCAGTAAGTGTTACATTAGGTCCCAACTCGTGTTGGAAAAATGTCCCAAAGAGGAAGAAACTAAAGTGAAATAATGTATGAGAACGCTGGTTTTATATTAACTGCTCTCTTGCTTCCAACCTCACTCAGGCGGAGCTTTTGCCAGGGCCAGGGCTGCTGAGGTAAGTGCCATGTTGAAAGCTGTTAACAGGACAACTGGAAAATGCCATGTGTTTGGATCCCTGCCTAAACACATGAGGAGACGGGCCATGAGCCACAATACGAAGCGGCTCCCTCTCAGACTGAGAGACAGAGCTAACCGAATGGTAAGGCTTAGAACTTTTCCCTCAAGCATGTAAAGTTCACAGTTACACACTTGCTGACCTGTTTCATTTGGCGGGACCAATACCTCTCTGGTATGTTAAAGGAAATGATTTTGTCCTTCCCCTCGTCTCTTCCAGCGAGAGAAGAGCCTCAAGGCTGGATCAAAGAAGGAACCCGCAAAGAATAAGAGTCGCAAGGCCCGCCGGCGGCACGGAAACATGCTGCTGGAGTTCAACCGTCGTCAAAGAAAAAATGTGTGGCTGGAGACTCACATTTGGCATGCCAAGCGCTTTATTATGGTTAAAAAGTGGGGTTACTGCCTTGGACATAGACCCACAAACAAATGCTATCGTCCTTGCTACAGGGCAATGAACAGCCACTGCCTCCTTCAGGTAACCATAAGACTTGGAATTTCTGTTTGATTCATGTGACAACATTTAGATTTTGATTTAAGGGGATTTCCCTGCAATTAAAGTTAGATTGACATTTCAGGACCATTCCTACTACTGCTGCATAGAGCTACAGGGAGAGGAGAGCACACTTCTGGCTTCTCTGTCACGGTTGACAAGCAAGGAGGCTGGTGAGAATTTCCTCTACACAAAATATATTTTTTTGTCCTAATTAACTGAGTGATATCTGAAACTGGCTATTGACCTTGTTTCTTATTTGTCCTGACTGATTTTTGATTGATACTTTGTGTACTGTTTAGTGATTAATTCTAATCAAACTATATGGAAAGTAAAGCTTTGATTTAACTAACATGATACAAGTTGTACGTTTCATGTTTCGGCTGAATAATGGGAGCAATATGTTTGTGTTGGGGGTTTCCAGGCCCTACATTTGCAGCAGCGATGACTCTATCAGGGCAGAGACAGGGTAGTGTGGTGGTGTACAGAGCAGGACAGTACCCCTTGCAGCCTCTGGGCCCTGTGACCTTCCTCTGGAGACCACAGATTCAGGGTTCAACCATCAGGCAGTTGTGGATCTGGGCTCATCCCACGATTAAAAAGGTACAGTGTGTATAAGGGATGTAATAATTAGTCTTCGACTGATTGACCTTTAGAGAATTAAAGATGTTACATTAAGTGTTCTGGCTAATGTAAAGAGTTGGCAATCCTGGTAACTCAAGTTATTGCATGCACCTTGCAGGACCTGCTTCCTGAGCTACAAACTGTGTGCGAGTGTTGTGAGGCAGTAGTTCCTTCAATTAATCTCATGGGGACTCCTGCTGAGGTTGTTCCCACCACAGAATGTGAGCAGAAGCCAAATGAGACTCCTGAAGCCAAGCAGATAACTGGAACAAAGAGAAAGAAAACTTGTAAAGATGCGACTGGACCTCCAACCAAAAAGATCATTGGAGATGGAACTAGATCTCCCACTACACCAATCACCTGGAAGTCAAGCTCCACTGGAGTCATTATTAAGTTAGTGTTGTTTTTAATTTCATTGTGTTTCAAAGTAAGTAAAATGCTTGCGTGAATATTGTTTTACTAAAAGGGTTTATGTAAAAATAAACAGAATAGGATGAAGTGCAAAACATTGCCAGTTTTAATTACTTATCTAATTTCAAAGGTATATCTAATGTGAATCAGAAAATGTCAGTTTAAAAAAAAAAAAAAAGATTTAATTTTTAATTAATGACCTCAACACTTTCTTGAGTTGCGTAAGGGGTTTCAGTGTTGAAATCATCACATTCTGTTTATTTTTACACTTAATATAGTATCCCAACTTATTTTGGAAACTTGTATTTGAAGTTGAAATGTTTGCAAATCCCTTGTGGATCTGTTTCAGTGATCTCACTATGGAGATGGTACGTTTTCGTCTGATTGGACCACAGTCTCTCACCGTTCTATCAGAGACTTTGGAAACGGCTGCAGATTGTGAAGTAAGAATTTTAGTGTGTAAGCAACGTGATAAGCAGCAGAGTAAATGTATTTCTTAAAGTGATTGTTTTCTGTTGTTTTCAGGGAGTTCATAAATCAAAGCCCTCCTCCCTCTGGTGGTCTGAGCAATGCAAAGATGAGAGCAAGAGGAGTCTGCATCAAGAACAAAGTGATATCTATCGCCTGCTTAAAGGTGAGTTGTGATTTAAATCTCAATTAGTGCATCATCTATGCTGGTGTGGCTTTCTAAGAATTGACTGCATGGTTCCTGTTGTAGAGTTAATATGGTTTAAACTTCTCTGCACTCCTTGTAGCTTGTCCTACAATGATGTCTGTTTGCGATGGTATCAAAGTAACCAAGGTGATGCAGCATATCTAAAATGTGATTTGAGGCACCTATCTGGCCAATTTGCACAGAACTAGATTATGTTGTCTTTAGCGAAACACCGGCCCAATGGGAAATCCATCATATGAACTACACTAGGGATGCACAATATGAAATATCTTGAGCCAATACAATAATTTATTATTACGTGCTCTGATGGCCGATACAATAAGATTTCCAATACATTTTTTAATATTATATATATTCTTTCATATTAAAAAAAGGTCATAAAATGTAATTTATGCACATCTGGGGATAATAAATGTTCGATATGTAGTGAGCAAAGATTTTAAATTACAAACATTGAAAAACAAAAATAAACAGTTGTAACTTTTCAATTTTTATTTTTTTCATTAACTATGTAGAAAAAAAGTTTTTACTCTGTAGCTAACCAACGAGGCACAACACATAGTTTAAGCCTGTAGTTGACCTTCCCCCTGTTTTAATGCTTAAAAAGAACCAAATGATTGTTTTCCTTGTAAACAATATAAACATTCGCGTTGACATGAGATTTAGATCGGTGTTGTGTTCCCTAATCTACACATTGAATTAATTTCCTTCCTCACAGAACCTTTACAAAGTCCTTGTTTACATCTATTTTTATCTTGTGTCCATTCCAGGGAATAGGGGGGAAAATGAGCTGGTCCTTTATTTCTATTTCTGTCCAATCGATGACAAAATTCATTGCTTTAGCTTTGGGGCTGTTTCTTCAAAACTTTCTGCCGTTTTCAAAAGCTTGTTGAGTCGTCTTCGTGGTTCTCTCCTATGAGTCGGTGCTGCAGCTACCGGCCACTTCTGCTTTGTTTTTCTTTCACATGTCCTTGTTCTCTTCAAGTGGCTTATAAGATTCAGTTTGTTAAAACTTGATGACCCCCTCCCCCATCTGAATTCTTGCTGCTACGTTTTGTATTTTTATTTAACCAGGAAAGAAACTCCATTTAAAATTATCTTTTTTAAGAGTGTCTGGAAAAATGTAGAATGCATCCGTGTTATTCTGCTCTGATAAAATAACACTGCCAACATTGAAAACTGGTGACAACCGTGTAAACTCTCGCCGCGGCTGCGCTCCTTGTTCTTCACTGTTCGATGGTCGTTCGCACACCACCACCTACTGTGTCAGAATGTGTAGGCTTGTTAATAAGTAAATAAACACTGTTACATCGCATTTCATTAATCAGAATAAGAAATGTTAAAATATTCCTCATATTTGCTGATAAATGATCTGAACCTATATATCGTGGTTCCCTAATTTGAACGTCTCGAGATGCAGAGAGCAAACGGATTCCTTCCCATAATATGGTCAAATGTCTCTTTTTTTTTTTTCTGCACATTGATGTTTTGCGTTTGTTTATCTAACCATAACTGTAAAATTCCTTCAGGCATCCATTTGACTGGAGAGCTCCCCCCTGGCACCGTGCTGGGTCTGACCGTAGAAGACCCAAGGCTGACTCTACCAACAAAGAAAGTTGTAGCGTTGCCACATGTTAAACAAGCACAAGGTAAAATCTGACCCACCAGACAGAATTTGGAGGAATATACCGGTAAGCAGTTGCTTTGAATTCATGAATTATTCCAGACTCGAGTCATTCAACAACTGCTTTCATACTATCTCTCCAAATATGGACTCGGATGACGGCCCGACAGCCGTACTTTGACCATTTAAATAGGAACTAGCTGAGCATTGAATCAGTTTGTTTTTCTGCTGCTGAGGTTGTTTCAATGAGTGCTTACTGGTTCTGTGCTCTAGGGGGCCTCTGCTTGGTCATGCAGATGTTCCAGGTTCGAATCCTGGCAGGACCTTGTACTCCAAACACACCTTCAGTGACAGATGATAGCTGATTCAGTGCCCATGAAGAGAAGCTCAAAAGAGAAGGGGTTGGCCTTAAAACTCTCCTACGTTTCCTGAATCTAGTTTTTACTACAATTTTATGAAAGATTGCCCTTGTCCTTAATGTTTTAGTATTTTTTTCTTTTTCAAATTACTTTATCAGTCCAAATAAAATCCAGTTATACTTGAAAATATAAAATTACATTTGAGTAATGATGCCTTGACTTGTTGTCTAATAGTATGCTTTTCATAATTCCTCACGCTATACTACTTTACTGAACTTGTGCTCAAGTGATAAGAGTGTGGGATAAATGATCAGATTCTAGAAAACTATCTAAAAACACAAGGATGTCATTGTTCGATCAGCATTAGTTACCATCCCATCCATTATAAACAATCTGAGTTAGTAACTTCATGATGAAAATCCTTTTATGTTCTCTGCCCGTAGAATCTGTCTTGAGTTAGGAGAATAAATGGAAGTGTTGATAGAAACACTCAACATCACATGGTAATGTGGGTGTAATTGAACACCTGCTTCAAATAGATTTGATAATCTTCATCAATATGCTCACTGACTAAAACCAAAACAGGCAGAGTTCAACTATTACAGGCTGAAGAATCGTTTCAGAGGAAAACTGTTTATTTACCCTGTTAGATTGATTTTTTTTTTTTTTTTTTTGTCTTTAAGGACCCTTTGAACAAAACAAAAACTAGTGTCTTAATATCAGCAGGTTTATTATTGTTTTTAACTTACAGGGATCTATTGTCTTCTCTGTTTGAGCTTTATCTTACAAAGTGTTTGAATAGACTTTGAAACACTGGATTTTAAAACTTCCTTCATCCATTTGGTTGAACAGCTTTATTTTCAATCCGGATTACTACAACATATACTCCTGTTACATCTGTTTGGAGAAGAAGCACAACCAATATTTACAGTGTAAAAATGCTGGCAAAGCTGCCTTCTAACACTAATTATTTTAAACGTCATATATTTGTACCCAATGTTGAAGCCAGTGACTTCGACGTATGTTATGCAATCTTCCATTTTCTTATTATTAAGGGTATGAAACATTTGCGTCACCTAAAGAGTAACTACAGAAATGAAAAATAGAGGTGTTTCATGTGAGGGTGGCTGTCGGTGTGTTGCTGTTGGGTGATAAATCCACGTATAGAAAGCTTCATAATCCTCTCTTGACTCTATTGATGTTGATCATACAGGAGCATACTGTGTGTGATGTTTGTTTCAGAGTCGGAGGAGAAGAGTAGGGAGCTGATGCTGAAAGGAGTACCAAAACACTGCTGTCAGAGTTACCTGTGGGAGCGCTCGGTCCGAGACAACGTCACTGAAAACAAGATATCAGAGCAGGCAGCTTATCATTTTCATACTACCAAAAATATATCTAAAAAAACTAACTTTTAGTAATTGTTAAAAACACTATTAGCGTTGCAATAGAATGTTTTCTCTTAATCTTAAAGATGTTCTTGTACATCTCGTACTAGCTATCTTCTATTTGTCCAGATAGATATTTGGCCCTTCCTCTAGCATTATCTGTGTGTCACCCACAGGAGTTGAACAGAAGAAGAAGTGAGATGCTGGTCCCAGGTTCCAGGCTGACCCCCACTCCCCCGCAGAGCAGAATCCCCATTCTACTCGTCCATCAGCCTGGCAAGCAGGTCGGGTGTGAGATGATGTCGTGGGGTGCTGGATGGGACCTGCTGCTTCCTAAAGGATGGGGCATGGCTTTCTGGGTTCCACTGGTAGGCTTTTATTTAAATGTCCTTTGTAACCTTTCATTTCTGTTGAAGTAGCGTGGATCAACTTTCATCTTCCAACTAAAGAGGTCGTGAGTTTGGTGAAAACTTTGGTTAAAATCCCATTAAGAATGTATCTGATTCTGATGAGTTGCTGCTTATCTTACTACTTGATGTACTCTAACGTTAAAACACCATTTTACATTTTCTTGTACATATTTTAGAAAGTACTACTCTGTTTGTCAGCTATAAATATGAGATATCTTTATAACATTTTATTCGTATTCTCGGTAGGATCGAGGAGATATTAACTTTACTCAACCTTCAAAACTCCAAGTTTCATGGTATTTCAGTAAAAGTGCAACAAATCTGTGTTTACAGTGAAAGTCAGCTTGAGAAACCATTTAAAAGATGTTTTCATTACTTGGATCCCTTATGGGAGTTCCATTTACTTTCAATAAGTATGTGTAGATTTAAATGTGTAAGGTACATTAAAAGCCTTTTTTGTGTCCTTAATTAAGTTCCTTTTAAAATCCAGTGTTGACTGTTTTGTGTGTATGTTTCTTGGTCTGCCAGGTGTACAGAGGAGTTCGCATCGGAGGGCTGAACATGAGTCTGAAACACTCGCAGATAAAGGGGGTCCCCCACTTCCCACATGATTACCCAGATTGCCCTTCAGGCGTGGCGTTTCAGGAAGAGCAAGAGGCAGAGCTCCTGAAAACGTTTAAAAGGTCAGCTCAAGTCTAAACAAGAAAAGGGAACAGAAATAATGATGTTGTAAGGACCTCGGTCCAAATTAACCCGATGATTGAAAACAGATTAATTAATGTATATCATAATGAAACTGTGATAATCTGCTATTAAAATACACTAGTCATTAGCCTGTAGTGTAAGGTTATGATAGAATGAAAGGCTTGAGCGATTTATTGGCTTATGCAGATTTGTATCAGCATGGCGAAAGACAATTAAAGCAGTTTGCTGCTCTTCCCTAACTATCTGCTACTCATCAGTCATGATTTGTTAAATGAAATGACGGGGCTGCCCCAACAGTTGCAGAAAGATTTGACCCTTTGATATTTTTATAGGCGTCCGCCAGCCAAAAGGACCAATTACATTAAACACGGCTGTCTGGCTCCATTCCGTTGCCCCTGGCAACAGCTGGCAGAGGAATGGGAGCCTATTAGATGGAATCGGGAGAGAAGAAAGACGGTCAGATCGAAACAGCGACAGAGTGTGACAAGGTGACTGAGGAGGAGCTGACTTCACATTCAGCCGTCACTGTGACAAAGTCTCTGAGCTGTGTCAGTGTACTGAGGTGAATGTTTTGTCTTGTACTTTTTCTATCATCATGTTTCATCAGTCTTTTTTTATAATCTCACTTTTATTTTTGGGGAAAATAAAACCATCTCATCATTGATTCAAAACATACCAGCTGCAGGTTTTCTCTAAGCTCATTTTAGTCAAACGTATTGCATATTTAAATCAGATCCCTCAGATGTTTAAAGTTCCTCATTACATTGACGATCATGCATATTTATTCTCGTTTCATAGACTGCCTTTTTGTTTTCAACATTAAGAATTAAAAATGACTTTAACTAAAACTGGTCCCCTTAGGGTGCTTCATGAAAACCAATGGAAATGCAGCTTTTCCTTACATGATTTATTAAATTGTCATGAATGGATATCTGCTGCTTTTATGCTTTCCAGGAATAGAAAGTCACTGAGGCTGCTCTCTGGTTGGTGCAGACCTACAACATCTAAAGGTCAAAGGCCGTGCCGTGTCGGGGACCAGCCGCCCCTCAACCACTCGGCGGTGATGTCGTTTCTCACGGCACACAGAATGAGCCTGGTGTGGGTGCGTCTCTCTACGCTGTCAAAGGGCAAACCAGAGCCCCATGCCATGGTTTGTGTCCCGACCGCAGAGGACCTGCAGCTCCTGAACAAAGGACCCGGCAGCAGTGGCCCCCAGGAGCCCCCACACGGAGACCACTTTAAAAGCAGAATCAAACACAAAAAGAAGGGCCTAAGAAAAGCTGCTACATCCTCTTTGAGTGAAATGTCACACCTCTCTGCCTCTGAACCGAAGCCCTCCTCCTCTAAAGAGCCCGACCCCTCCCAGTCTTCCTCAGACCTCACCTTTGGGCTGTGGCCAGACCCTCTGCCGAGAGTCACCTCTCACTGCTGTCGATTGACTTTAGGCTGGGCCACTCAAGGTGACTTCTCACTGTCTGTAGGCTGTGGGGAGGCTCTGGGGTTCGTCTGTGTTGCTGGACTCCTTAAAACCCTCTCAAACCAGCCGATGGAACACAGAGGAATGTTGCTGCTGCGCAACCCTACTTCCCTGCACTACCGTTTTGTCAAATTAACCATCGAGGTCTGACCAAAGCATGTGTGAACGTGCAAGAGAATGACTGACTCTGTCCACCAAAGGTCAGACATTCTGACTATAAGTGTATGCATGAAGAAAAACTATAATTTATCTGGTGGTACTATCATCTTGAAGATATTGTGTATTCTTTGCACATCATTGTTTCATTTGAAAAAGTTTGGAGTTCATATTTGTTTCCATATAAATCTCTTCATGCAACTGATACTTCTCAGAGAGCTCCTGTATCATTTTTCAGTTCAATAAATGTGCATTAAGTCATCTGTTGTCATTGATATAGTGATCACGATAATGGCCTGTGATGGAAGCCTTTGCAATTGCTGTCTAAGCAGCAAAAGAGACAAAGTCTCAATCATGCTGTAGAGGTTGGTCTGCAAGAGAGCGGCAGTGGAACAGAGAAGTTTCTCAGCTCATTTGTTTTGAGTAACATGGTTTTTTTCCCGTTCTCTGCTTGAGCTATAAGTTACCTTGTATATTCATGGAGTGTCAGCTCATGAAGTTTAATACGGTATATTAAACCAAATAATCCATACAGGTCAAAGATGGCATTCGCATCTGACCACAACGCGGGTGAAACTAGATCAGTGAGAATTTTGAGGTACCAGTCATCAAACTATAAAGCAAAAAAACAAACATCTTGAGAGTAAAACTTTATACCATGTGAATGAATATGTCGGTTGAGTGGATTATTTGATCTTTAAATCAACAGAGTTTCTAAAATGAATCTCTCATGGGTAATTTAACATCCCTCTATCCAAACAATAATGCTAGTAGTATAAGCTTGTTATAATTCGATGTGGAACTGAGACCAGGCTTTCAGAATACCTCTGTTTAAATGGCTTTCTTTGCCCATACCAGAATATGAAATCAATTACTGTCGCTTCCTGTTTCATAACATTTGTATAACAGAACTTCTATAACCAACCATAAATGTGACTCATAACTTGTCCCGGTGTAAGTAGAGACATTCTTTATGTAAGCAGGAGGCTTGACAAAGCTTTTTAAAATAATGAATTCAATTCACTGGATTAACACAAAATGTAAAAGAAACTAGTGATTGAGTTTTGTCTACCATTAGAGGGCAGTAGTGCTCTTTATTTTGTGGAATCACAATGACAAATCTTTCATTTTGGTGTATCAAGGTTTGTACTTTATTCTCAACTGAACACATGGACCAACCAATTAGTTGATCAATTAACCACAATCCATATCGTACATTGTAAAGTCTTTTTCAGAGTGGCCTGAACATTATCTTTAATGTTTAATGTTCTTTTTCCTGACAACTTTGCAGGAAACACTGTTAAGATGTCTCACCAAATCAATGAGAATCTTAACAGATGTAGAAAAAGATTCAATATTTTACACAAAATCTTCAGACTCACATAAACAACCTTTATTGTTGGTTTAAGAGATATAGGTGAAGAACCAGAGAAAATAGAGACTTGTCCTATGAATCGCCTGTTTGGTCAGCTCTGTTGCACATAAGTTTTGCTGCCAGTGATCCGTATGTTGAAGTCTTTGCCTCAGGCCTCTCTTGGTCTGTGCGCCTTCTCCCTGGGAACACACACAGCTGCAGTAATCAACATTAAATCCAGGCTCACTGCTAGCAGACTTTTACAATAACTACTAGTTAAACAATACACCATAATCACTACAGAGGGTCAACACATCACATACTGCATCCTAAAGCAAGTCGATCAAAATCTTACCAGGAATTTGATCCATTGCGATAAAATTGGGATCTTGTTGCTTTATTTTTGGCCTGTTCCTGGCTATGAGGAAAACTCCAAGGAAAGACAGAAGACAACTGGAAAAGATTTTCAGGAGGAACTGATTCCGTCTCACAGTACATATTTCAAGATGCAATTCTTGGTATATTTTTGAATACATACCCAAATAGAAACATAAAAATGTTTAGTAAATCCAAGTCTTCAAATTCCTGGTAAAACACTATCCCTGCATTAAATAAAATACATTAGAATGCATTTAAGTTTTCACAGAAAAACATAATTAATCTCTGCATGGAACGTAGCCCTGCAAAGCCTGAGCGCAAAACATACTGGGATTATCTGAGGATAGAGTTTGGTTATTAACTGGACAATGCAATCTTTACAAGTGTCTAGTCACATAGAAAAATTCAAGATCACACATCGACCCTCAGATTATCAGATAAAAAGTTGGGTGCTTTACGCAGCAGCCATCAGTACGAGGTTGTGGTGTGAATGTGACCTTGCGTGGGCAGAAGACCAGAAAAGTGCCGTTTAGAAAAAATCCAAATGCAGAGAGTGAAACTAAACCACAAATTGTCAAAGCTTTATAACTGACATACCTGCAATAATGGCACTTGCGGTAAAAAACACGAAATTGACAGGAACTACCTCTGTGGCATCAAACATTTTCATGGCTTGGTTGAGGAATCTATGAAAAGGAAAAGGAAGATTTGAGAGAGGCACTGAGTAGTACCTTGCTTATACAGTATAGACAACATTTAACAGTCTTTTCACAACCTCATCCCGTTTTCAGTAGGTGCACTGCAGGTACACTGTCAGAATGTCTAATAAATAATTGATCTCACTTTGTACAGGAACTGGAAATCTGAATATTGTCTAGCATTAGGAAACATGACGGATTTAGCTATACAAAAGAGGATCGAAACGGAAAGAAGAAGAAACAAAGAAGTAAACAATAAAAGCTTGATTTACTTAATCTGGAAGGCGCAGGAGGCGACCATGATCACAAGCATGACATGGAAGATGGGATAGATAAACTGCAGGTCGCCTTTTATTGACTCTTGGATCATCCCTGACACAGCTTTGACTGAGATAACTGTTAGAGAGGCTGCAGAAAAACAGACGACAGAGATCACTTCAACATTTAAAATGTGTACTGTAACAATTAAGAACTTCCTCATTGGTTCAAGAATATGTGTCGGGTTGTTCATTGGTCCTTTGTTTGTTCTAGTAAATAATGCTCCAAGGATGGATCCTTTTTTTTTGTTTAGGCAACAAAAAAAAAACTTAAATTCATAACCTCTGCCCTCAATGGGCTAGTCTCCATTTGTTCCTACCCAGCAGGGCCACCAGCAGCATGACAATGACGATGTGCTTCACATTCCTCCTCTTGTACAGATACAGCAGGATGCAAAAGACAATGACCTCTATGAACTGTTGAAATGTTGAGTGAGAGAAAGGGTACAAACCATTAGTGCACATTCAATTCCCTTCAACTTTCCAAAGACATTGAACCAAGGCAAAAAAAAGTGTTGGTCTTTAATGAGAAGGCGCCCAGGGTCTAACATCCTAAGTCCAGAGCATTCAGCTGTTGAAAGGCCTATTATACAACACCACATAGCTCTAACTGATGAAAAATACGAGTATTAGAGGAGTACAGAACAGAATCAATACCAATGGGCAAAATGATCATTCAATGTCTCTGAAAACCAGCCCTGTGTCTCATATGTGGTATAGGGGTCTTATTTAAAACTATTATTTTATGTTGCTGTTAAGACCTTGGATCATTGCAACTTATAGACAAATGAATGCTATGCTATGTGAAAGACCCCACAGTTGTTAAATGAGAACATCCTTTCAGATGTGGTTATAGTTTGACCTTTGTTAATAATGTATGTTAATATTTTATCTGAAAAAAACTACCTTAGGTGACGCTGCATTTAGAGGCTGTTCCTCTAAAAGCTGATGATAACTCAGATTACATTTGCAAGAAATCCATTCATTAATACCTATTTTCATACTATGTTCTTGAAGATTTTTTTCAGTGATTTTCTTTGTACAGGTTTAGAAAAAAAAATGTGGCATGTGCAATATGGATGACAGAAATTCTCAACTCTAAAAAATAATTGAATTATGCAAAGCCCTTTTCGGGGCGTTTTTAGGCTTTATTAGAGAGACAGAGACAGGAAAGGTGGGGAGAGAAAACACATTAAAACAGGAAGTCGAAAACAACACCACCGTCTTTCAACATTTAGAATGCCGAACTCAAGCAGGAGAGTTTTGAAAGTGTAACTTACAAGATAGAGCAAGAAGTGCCAGCTGATCACGTAGTACTGGATCACATGGGCTGTGATGTGTGTGGAGGTGTGAGGGGCAAAGGTCACCAGGACATATGTTCCTGTTATTGCCAGGTGCCGCCTGTCATATTAAAAGAGACTGGTGAGGTTGTAATGGAAAATGTTTTCATTGAGACTTGAAGGATAAATCATGAACCTTTTAGCTCATCTTATATTGCAAAAAGTCATCTGTTTTAGCAGCCACTATTCTCCATCAACAAATTCACTCTAACACAATTTAGTGTAATCGGTACACAATAAACTGTGTGCAGAGTAGACTTTATACAGTGATAAAGAGAGATGAAGACAAAGAGACAGAGACATTGAATTAAAGAAAATGAGAGCGAGTAGGCCCTGTAGTGCTTTGATTCTCAAGTGTTTGCTCTTACCAACGATGTCAGATGCACGCACTGTCTCCTTGAGAAAAACCACGGATATGACAGCACTGGCTGCAAAGTGAAAATACGTTCATGTGAGTTTAACCACCAATAAAACCTGCCACAATAACTTTAAGTCAAGTAGACTTATTTATTCAACGTAACAGTTTTATCCTCTCAAAGTCAATTTTAAAAAAGGCGATCAAATACATTTCAGAGTCTAGATACCAGATCAAATTGTAGATTTAATCATCCTACTTTCTGTTAGCAATAACATAACAGTTAATGCCTTACAATAATAATATAATAATAATTGGCTCCTAGAGACACTGAAAGCTAGTCCACGTAAATAAACTCAGTGCTTGAAAGTTTATGTAGAACATCATGATCAAATCTGTCAGCTTGTCTAATTACATTTCACTTGTTAGGACTATATCACATGAGCAACAAATCAAGATGCCTTTCCATGACACATTTTCCACTGGCCCATTCATTAATATTTTAATAGTCAAAAAACTACAATGTTGAAAAGCAATCAGTTGCGCCCCCACAATTCATTTTAATGTTTCTTCAGAAAGTGTGTAGACTCAAGGGACAGGCGCCGTTTGGCTATCACAGAGACTGAGAGCAAGAAAATCAAAAATGCATTTCTAAGAGATGCTAATAAACAAGCAGATACACAGATGGATGTAGCCACACAGGTGAGACAGAACAAATAGCAGACACAGTGAGGACGTCCGTTTTTCAAACTAGATCCTTGCTTGTGTTAAACTTACTCCTTGATTTACGTCGCTTTGCAAAAAAAATGCATTCGCTAAATGAATTGTAGAATAGTTCAATTGAAGAGAACTACAACTGTAGGCACCGTTTGCTCATTACATTTTTTGTACATTCTCATCAACACAAATTACTCTTAAAAGGTCACTTTTCCTATGAAAACATCATTAACATGAGCTTTTTAAAGACTTTTGTAAATTAGACATGTGTTATACAGTTGTAATGCAGGAGATTATCAAACAAACGTTCTTGGACTGAATAAAAAAAACTATACTTTTTAATTTTATTATTTCTTCATTTACATTTTCAAGTAAATGCAAATATTTGATAAACATAACATTCTTCATGTAATGCTAAATGCTAAACTACTCAGCTGACATGTTGTGAATCAGGGTTCTGTTCATTTTCAACATGCCATCCTACCTCTCCTTTCCAGCTTTAAATCAACTTCCACTTCAACTACAACTTTAAATGTATCATCCAGGAGGGATATTCGTTTATTTATGCATGTTATGTAAGTACTCACATGACAAGCTCAAGAGATCAGACTTCACATGGGAATGGTTTTCTCTCAACCTTTCCCTTCATGCCTTCATGCATAGATAATGTATGAGGGGGCAAAAAGGTATTGGACTTTTACACTTACCTATGACAGAAACACAGCCCAGCGGGGCTATGAGTGATGCCGGGGCAAAGCCGTAGGCAGCAAAGTTCCCGAGTTCTCCAACACCCATTAGAATCACACCACACCACCATATCACCGAGGTGTAGTAGGGCTTAGAGCAACGCTGAGCCTGGCGGACATGAGCATATTTCTGGAACCCAAAACACCAGTCAGGTTAAGAGATTCATACGCAAGCACTCAAAACAAAGATATATTTACAGCTAAATTTCATTGTGTTTTGTTGCTTAGTATTTAAGTGGGATAACCCAGACGTTTTAACCTATAGCTATTAAAGGTTAAAAATGTCATGCAGCCATAATCTGTCTGCAGATGGTTGGGGTTTGTAGTCAATACATCACATCTACTCTCTGAATTATAAGCATGCAGCTCAAAAATCACTTACACTTGAAATTATAATAATAACTTATCAGAGGCCCATTTTATGCAATCTGTTAAAGCTGTACAAATATTATAATCAGGTCAGACACAAGTACAATACAGATTATGTTGAGGCAATATGATGACTTAACTGGCTGATTGTAATGGCAATCACAACATCAACTGAAACTGATTTCCCCTTTTTTAAACATTTATCTTTATTAATTCTCAAAATGTATATTTTAGCTGTCTGTTGCACAATGCTTTCTGTTAACATGTCAGCACATCCATCATCCAGACCCCAAATCATAATACACATAATGCATGATCAGCTGAAGTAAGAGCAAACTTTCCAGAGTAAGTTTATATGAATAATGAATTGTTCACACTTTACAATAAGGTACACATATTTTGCATATTTACTGGATAATGAATGACGAACCAAACTACCTTTCAACCAACTACCTGTGGTACAGTCGGTGTTGTATTAGCATAAAATAAAAAACAATAAAAGAGAAAAAACGAAACAAATGATCCCAAATAAAGATCAACACAGAAATAAATAACAACACAACACCTTATTTGATTGATCTTACATAAGGCAAAATAAAATATACGCCTTTGGGAGCGATGTATCATCTTTGTGTTGTAACATTCCCCATAATAGCTTTTACCGCAGTAACAACAATTCTTTCTTGGATCCACACAAAGAAAAGCAACAACAGGATGAGTCAAGTTCACAATATTAACAATATTAATTCACAATATATATGAAATGTGCAGTCACATTGTTGTTATCACCCCCCCCCCCCCACACACACTTTCTGGATGATGCTCAAGCAGTGGATGTTGGCATTTCAATGTTTCCTGCCCCCTCAGAGCAGCAGGCTACATATGCCAGACTGCTGCTCCCTGTTCTTTACCCTCGGGAAGTAATGATAACTTGGCCCATTGCTGCCCCGACTTCCTTCCTCACCTTTTGCATTCTGCAGAGGATTCGGACAGAGATAGCATGGCTCGTTCTGATAGCCCCAAACTGGCCACATGGTCTGCTACCATGGGGGCTCACTGGCCCAAAGGAGTTCCATCATTTTCACAGCTTTAAAATTATGCCTGGCCCCTGAAAGTCCAGCCTCTTAGAAATGGGTCTGCCACATACAGTACTGCACACCCTTCAAAGGGCACGGGCTTTGTTGAGGGCAGAGCGTGTCCAGAGGAGACCTACGCTCGGTAGTCTGGAGGCTTCACCCTCATGTAGTGACAGAGATCTAGGCCCACTTTGGAACAACAGTGGCACATCTGTTTGCCTCCAGGGCGTCAACACACTGCGCCCTGTTCTTCTCCCTATGGAGGTCCAACTCTCTTCTTGGACTATAGAGCGCCACAGGAATGAGTCCTAAAACCCAATGAGCATTTGAGCGCCATGGGGTCTATCCTCTCAAAGTCAATGGGGATTATGAATGGGTTTGTGGTTAGACGCCTGAAATAAGGTCTGTGGTTAACAAAAGCTTAAGAGATGTTGCCGTTTCGTTAGACGACATAAACTACGTTAGGTAATACCCTCATTTGTGAATTTTGAAGTTTTTACGCGTCTTTAAAAAGGCGGTTGCTAACAAGTGGCTAAATGAGACTACAGTGGTTGTCGGGGACGTTAAACATCATCACGCCGGACACAAACGTCAACTCTCTCACTAGTCCGTGATGTCTCCTGTAGGTTTAATCTTTGGGTTAAGGCAAACATTAGGTTAATAAACAATTTATTAAGCTACGCGGATTAGCGTATAAGAGATCGCCTGAAGCATACTGTAATGGTAGTGACGTCAAAATCATCCAGCCATGTCGAGACAGCTTCCACACATTGGAGAACAAACAGAACATGACAGGTACTTCCCTCGTGAACTGCAATATGTAGCTGGGTGGAGAGATATTCTCTTCACTCAAAGAACTACAGTTGCAATATAAGCTACAGTGTTTACAGGCATGGTGTGCATGGTTGTGTTGAGTCAGTGTCTGCTGTTCAGCTTCCTACCTGTATGTTGAGAGATATGCTGATGAGGACATTCCCACAAATAGAGATTATGATTCCCAGGAGATAAGTCTGTGGGAAGAAATAGTAAACAGGCAAATGAATGGGTGAAAGGGTTTAAGGGTGTGGTTCTTGCTTGTGAATGTGTGGGTAGAGGTTGTACACCAACACAGAGGTGATCTCAATTTACTTTGAGCTCATCGTATCACATCACAACATAATTCCATCAAACAGCCTTCATGGAAGTAAAATTACTAATGTTGTGCACTCTTAAAACTATTTTTTCCCCTGAGAAACCTACTTTAAGATGTAATGGAAAAATTCAGTTTACTGTCGAGGACACATTTTACTTACAGCTCGCTTGAGAAATGCTACGATAAGTTAATGCGTAATATTCTTGTTTTGTCTTTACCCGAGGATGAAGGTTTCTCACAAATAGCTAAATATCAAAGATACTCAGACTTGGAAGTTTCCTTGACATTACTGTTGTGCGACGTGTTGAAATGTATGACAGAATGTATTTGATATTTGACTGCAATCCTTAGATAGGCATGAAGGTTTTTCTGTGAAGCATGTGTATATAAACCAAAGCATATTGTGATTACTTGGAGCTTTTCCTTCAGACTGTGTTGACACTCTGAAGCTTTGTTCCTTCTACTTGCAAGAAGAATTAAACTAAACAAAGACATTGATTGACTCATGATCCTTTCTTTTGCATTGTTAACAGAAATTTCCAGCACAAACAACGTAAGCCAATTGAGAATTTTCAAGTATTTTTTAATTAAAAAAAAACATACCCTTACTAACTCACTACTCTATTTCACAATTTGCATGCATTTTCTTATAACACCTTGCACTGTGTGTGTGTGTGTGTGTGTGTGTGTGTGTGTGTGTGTGTGTGTGTGTGTGTGTGTGTGTGTGTGTGTGTGTGTGTGTGTGTGCGCACGTACACAGGCAGTAGTGAAGTAGCAATACAAGTGTTCAAAGTAGGAATCTCACTCAGACAGCAGGAGCCGATACTCCGGCACAAAAGAAAAACCCACAAGAGGAGATTGTGGGACAGAGTGAGAAGAAAAAAAGGAAAAAGAGAGACGGAGACTGAGGGAGATTTCCTGTCACAGGAAGAACAAACAGAGCCGTGGAGGACACAAGGGCCGTTACACTGGGAGTGTCGCTGGCTTGTCGGCCTACTTAGCAAACATTGCATAGTTTACTTAAGGGAAACCAAGAGACGTCACATCACAAAGCTCCCCATTTTCCTTTTGCAGTTGTGTTCTAAATAGTTTTACTACTATAAAACGACTGCTCATGTAGCTGACTGTTTGGCTTTTACACTTTAATGTGCAGTGGTAGCACAGGAAATATTTTGAGATAAGGCACCTTTGTCTCCACAATGGTGGAAAGCAACAAGGCACAGTACTTGTATCTGAGCTCTTTAATACTTGTGTAAGCTTTTACAGTCAATTTATATAATTGAGTTTAAATTATAAATAGGTGTACATCATGTATCAGTGAACATTTGCCAAGTTATTGTTTGTAGATTTACACGTTTAAATATTCTCAGCAGCATAACCGTGATCAAAATATGCTGAATCCACCTCTGTGGTGTTCATTATGTTTACCTTGAGTTTAGTCATCCTGATCTCTGATTGGTTTACTCAGCGACATGTGATGAGTAACAAGGTTGTGAAGTGGATGAAATATGTCTGACAGTAAAGTGATGCTGAGAACGTTATCCATCTCTATCTTAAGTAGAGTGATCCATCCAACCCACATTCACCCCTCACAATACATTTGCTAGTTTCTTGTCAAACTATTTGAATATAAAAAAACAACATATGATCAATCTTAAGAAGTCATAAAGCTATTTTATAATCTTTGCATGTGGCATGAGATACTACAGGCCCATCACTAACATTGGTATAACTCCCAGTTTACCAGCCTACAGATATTAACACACTGCCAGTTGCCCATGATGCAGGCAGTAGAGCAGACAGCCATGCATTGGAGCAGCAAAAATGAACAAATGTTAATAGTCTACCTATGTCTGATGTTAAGAACACAGGACGTTAGTTAGCCTAAGATTCTGTCTTATCCTGTCAGTATGTCTAGAGAATTAGAGAATTAATGTAGTGGCTATGTTGTGCTTGGCATGTTCATGTACACATTGTTTTTCATAAATTAAAAAGTCACTAATCATTTCTTCTGATGTGGTATTGAATCAGCGGACATAACCGCAATCCAAGCAACACATATCTTGAACAGTGGCCTGTGTGTGGCACAGTGGAAGGAAATAAGTTACATGAGTCGACACGGCCCGTCTATCCATGAATAAAGAAATCAATTTCGATTTAAAGGGAATGAGATGTGAAAATCTTATTCCAATACAAAACCTATGTATTGATCATGTCTTTTAGGCCGTTTAAACAGGGACCTCTACCTGTGAGAACTATTACAAATACTGAAACACAGATATAAGGTAGCTGAAATAAGCCCAACCACAATCATTCTGATTATTTCTGTTATTTCCAAGTACGTACTTGTTACAAAGGTGTAATTCATAGTGCAACCAGAATAGATTTGAAAACTTACTGGGAAAATACAGGAAATGACTCAAGACTCCAAAACTATGTATTTTTTTAAATGCTGCTGCTAGACTCTGAACAAGTAAATGCTAAGGTGCGGTATGTTTTTGGAGATTGATCTGGTAACACCATGTCTGTTTGTAAACTTAAACAGAGGTCAAAATATGTTAAATGAGCATTAAAAGTAATGCAGGGACTGACAGCACTAATCCTACCGCCTACTTGTTAGGACACGGACCTACAGACAAGCAGACAGACACAGAGATAGACAGCATGCCCCTTTGTGTGCGCTGACAATAGAGATCTGTCCAACCCTGGGGTGGGAAAGTCTGTGGATGAAGCTCTCCACTTTTGTCTCTGATGTCGGAGTTACAAATGACGCATGAGTGAGGTTGTATGAAAATATGTAAAAAATTGCTCTAATCTAGAGCACTATTTTAGCTGCTAAAATTTGACTTTAACTGTTTGCTGACCTACTGGGCAATGTGCAAGTAAGGTCAGAAGAGTGACCTGCTTCTAAGGAAAAACTTTCCATATTTAATGTACAAACTAAAATGCTGAGGTTTTGGACAGCATAAGCATCATGCAATTATGTGATTTAAAAAATCTGTCATGCAGTAGGATTAAGAAGAAGATGAGGGCCATGGAGTAATTATAATCAAATGAGTATACTCAGCGTATTATTCTCAAAATAACCACTTTTTTTTTTTTTTTTTACAATATTTTCACATTTTGTGTTGCTGATTACAATATATGCTTTGGAGAGATATTGCTAGTTATCATCTTGCAATATTATGACCTGCTGGCAAGTTACAGGCTGAAGGTAACTGTGGAGTTAATTAATGTGGCTAAATTTACATCAGCAATATTTCTTTTCAACAGTTATTTTAAGTGGTAGAGTCTTTCAACACCCACCTAGGTCAACCAACTGGACAATTTGTACGAACCTTTGTTTTCATTTGCACCATGCAAACATTTTCAGACAGTAAGATATTGTCCACTGGATGCTGGGATGTTCTCTAGGATGGTGGGTGGCATTTTACAGAGGGAGGAGCTAGGACCATTAGCCAGCTGCTCAGGACTCTTACAGTAGATCTATTATCTCTCAACCCACGAATAAGCCATTACTCATTATTCTCGCCTCTCATTCCTCCTCTTCTGCTCTGTAACCCCCCTCTTGGTTATGTCAAAAAAAAAAACATGTTAGGATGTGTGAGATGGACAAAAATGTCTGTCTGTGTAAGAGTGGGAGAGGATTGATGCATACATAATAGTACATTACAAAAGGGAGACTTTGCCAAGCATATTCAACGTGATGAAGAGACTTCTCAAAGTTGTCTTGTGTCCTCATGGACACAACGTGCACCCAACCACAAAGCTTTGGAGGGTTATACAGTTGTAGGTTTGTTTTGACCAACTTAATAAAGAAACAATCACAATATTCATTATCCTATCTGCAGCCTAGGCTACAGTGAACCCTGAACCTGTTTCGCGTGTTTTTATTGTGTGTGGGTTTGTTTTCTGCACACATAGGCTACATTTAAGAATTGGATGAAATAGCAAGAAGAATAGCCAATAATTATCTCAAATTGGTGTTTGTTTTCTATAAACAATACGCTTTCTCGTTTCTTTTTATGGGCTACTTTAAAAAAATAAAAAAAGACCAGGATGTAAAATGTTGTATTTTCAGCCTAATAGTCCGATAAATAATTTCCATAATCACGGAAACAATCGGTTAAATCACACCACACAGGTTCCGCGACACTCACCTAAAATACCTGATCCTATTCAACTTCGCAAACTTTTTTTTTTTTTTAAAGAGTTAAAACAAATGTAGCCTACCTGAAGTGGATTTTCAAGGATCTGAGCTTGGGCGGAGGTCACATGAAGAGACGTAAGTGGATAACTTAGATTCGCCATGCTTTTTTTTTCTTTTATAAAAAAACCAAAAAACAAATCTCTACATCGCAACTGTCACTATTCTAACTTGTTCTTTCATGGTTTTTCCACCTCGTCCCATCACATTGCATCCCTTGTCCCCGGCAGCTACAGTGCAGAGTGGAGAAGTCAGTGACGTAGGCTGAGTGTACGAGGCGGACCAGGAGTGTGTGCTGACTTAATGTGTGGCTGGGGAAATGGACTATTCACAGGCCTATTTGAAAATACAACCTGGATATAATAGGCTACGTTAGGCTATATAGCCCATGCATAGACTAGTGGTTGTTATTATTAAATATCAGTAACCTTAACCTTTGTATGACGAACCCATTTGTTTATGCCTAGAATCCAAACACTCTTATGTTCGACATCACGAGTTGCACTTGAAGGCAACCTCTGTGAGCAGGCGCAGCACCTGTTGCGGAACTGCATTCAACTAATTATCAATTTGCGGAAGGAAAGCAGTCTACTAACAAGCTTAACAGTGATTGATATGATAACTATTGCTTTGACAAGAGGAAACGAGTACAGTCGTATATGAGTGAAGCATGCATTATTAGCCTACATAGGTGGGGAGAGGAAGTTTCTCCACAGCATGTTAAGAGAGACCCATAAATCAGTGAGGGAGTGGGAAAGAAAGCAAAGGAAAAAAAAGTCTTCCAAGGATAAGTAGGCTACCTAGAGGCAGATAGACTACATGTCAAAATGCCTCCTCCGCACTCTGGAGCCTCACATCAGGCTCTACTTTATCTCTTATTCTGTTCTCCCCTCTGTATCAACTTCCTCTAACTGAAGTTTAAAGACAAAGTCACCTGCTGTTTCACCTGAGGGGGAAATAGCTGCTTCACAGTCTTCTCTTGAGGTGGGGTTTATTAAGGCTTTTTAAAAAAATAATGATTTGAAAGAGATATTGAAATGGTGCAGGGAAGCACCATGCAACACATTTGTTAAACTTAATAGGAGTCATCTTTGTTGATGGAGTTGCCTAACAGGCTTTTAAGTTGGGGCATTTCATCCCTTATGACCTTTATTTATTATTATTTTATATGCCTATATTTAAATTAAACATCCAATACCATAAGGTTAGTAGCCTACCACCTGTTGTCCATATCGTATGGCACTACAGCAGGCTATTTTAAAATGAGGATATTTCAGAGTGATGCTGGAGCAGTTTATTTTTCACCTGATGTAGTTTTTTTGTGCTTTACATGAATTGGTTGGTTGGTGAGGTGACCCCCTCTTCTCTTTATCTCTGTGATGCTTCAGGAGGGCGGTGCAGAGGAAGAGCTACGTGTTGCTGCGCAGCAACAGAAAGAAAGAAGAGAGAGGGCAAGACAAAGGAATCTCCTCGCATAAGCTGCAGGACGTAAAGCAGCAGGCTTCCTATGGCTCTCAGGATGTAGGCGACTGTTATTAATGTAGCGAATTATAGACTGCATGTAGGCTGACTAAACAAGGAAGAATACCCGAAGGAAGCAGAGTGATCTACCAGCTACAACAACCCTTCGAGCAGCTCATATTGGAGGAGGGAACGTCAATTTATTCCTGTCTTGAGTGAATTTCTAATTGTAAGGATTGTATTTCTGAAGGGAGGAAATAGGCTGTCGTATTGCGCCGCTTCCATTGAGCTTCCTCCTCTTCATCGTGCCGACTCCCTTTTGGAAGCTTCCTCCTCCTACCTTCCGGAGATGAACCTGTCTGGATTCCAGGGAGAAGCTCTTTGCATTTGATGTATTGTTGAAACTTGTCCACAGACTGCAATATGCCATCTCTTGAGTTGATCACAGAGTGTTCTTGACGGGAATTTGGGTCAACTGTCCTCGCTAAAGTAAGTAGCCTACCTTGTTTCTTCTGTCTTCTTTATGACTAGGCTACTATAAAAACTATCTGTCTCTTATTGGAGAATGATGATATCAGGTGATTCTTGTGAAACTGGTGTCTTCTGAGCCCCCCCCAAAATGGAATTCAAGTTTTAGTTTCCAAATAGAGTCACAAATGTTCTAAAGCCATCAAAATAAAGAACCAGATGTGTTTGCATTATAATGCAATTCAACTGAAATGATTTTAAACAATATTAATATAGGCTAGGTTGAGAAAGTGACAAACATTTCAATTCTTTTCATTTTCCAACAAATTAAAAATGCAATTTATGCCCAAAATGAGTTGCTATATAAAGTTTTTTGTCATCACTGACTTAAGATATCTTCAGCATTAATTGTCGAATTTAAAAATTGACACCTGTCGCCCTGTTTGTGTTCAACTCCCTCAAAACAAAGCATTCATTTATAAAATGATGGTTAGTCCCTGTGACATCTGCATGAAGGAAGTCTTAACATACTGCAAAGTGAAAACAAGTTTAAGTATCTTTTTTTTTTACCTATATTTGATAGTTTTGTTATCGTCATCAAGCTTAACCTTTCAACCCTTTTGAGAAAGTGAAAGTGAACAAATTTAAAAAATACATAAATAAGGGTGGCAAAATACAAGCCTGTTTCCAAAGAAGTTGAGCCATGTGATGATTTTGAAAACATTTAAACCCGATATTTTTATTAAAAATAGCACAAACATGTAAAAATGTCAGACAGAGAACACTTTGTGTTTTGGGATTTTGAATTTGATACAGACGACATGTTTCAAAACAGCTGGGACATGGTCATGTTTACCGTTCTGTTGTGTCACCTCTTCATTTAACAAGAGGAGACCAATTGGTTTCATTTGTTGAACCATTCTTGCTAAATGTAGATTTTCAGCAGTTCAACATTTTACATTCGCTTGATCTAATCTGATGTTCAATAATATTCAAAACGTTTTTAACATGTCTGTAGTGCAGACAGGTCAGTTAAGCACCTGGACTCTTACTACAGTCATACTGCTGTATTACGTGCAGAATGTGTTTCTGTGTTGTCTTGCTGATAAAAGCGAGGCCTTCCTGATAAAGATGTTGTCTACTTGGCAGCATATGTCGCTCCAAAACCTTTATAGATTGCTTAGCATTATTTGGGCCTTCACAAATGTGCTGGTTACCCATGCCTGCAGTAATGCACTCCCATACTGTCCACATTCTGGTTTTCAACTGTCACTAATAACAGGCCGAATGGTGGATGGAGAACGGGGTTTCAATGATATCCAAACTAGTGAAGGATATTATTGATACTGGTATGGACACCGATACTGTTTATCAATGTGATACTTATTGATAATACTCTTACTCTTTAATTATTTGGTTAAAAATATTGAAATGAAAGGAAAGATGTCTGGCTTTAAAAGACAAATCACATACTTTCCAAACCTGATTCACAAACCTCACATGAAAAGCTGAGCCTCAAATGACTCGAGACAATAATGAGATGAATTTAATGTTTATATTTCAAAGACACATTGGCAATTTGGAAAATGACATATATTCCCCTAGTGTGTCAAGTTTAAATAAAGTCATTTTAATCAACTCCCAGACAGTTTAAATAACCTTGGAAACTCTGACGTTAGCTCAGTGGTGAGAGAATCAACTCATTGCAGTCAGGTGTGTGTGGCACTGATTGGCTTTGATTAAGCCCAGGTGTGGGGAGTTTTCATATACCCTGAGTCTCCAGTGTCCTGTGCTGACTCATTATCTCACCTTCAGAGGTAGTGAGAGGGTCTCCCTGGGGCTTCTTCTCCCTGAGTGGTTGTGTGTCTCTGTAAACACCAACTAGCCTGTTGTGGCTCTAAACAGTTTTGTTGTTTTTTCCCCCCTTTCCAATCTATCTATCGATTTTGTGGTTATCCTTCTGGGATAACTTTGAGACACCCATGGGTCCACACTTGCGTCCCAACCCCCCCCTTCCCCCTGTGCTAAAATTAGATAATCATTTTGCTGAAAACAAATACAACAGGGTGCTTATTATTAACATAATAATAGGCTATCGAGACAGTCCATTAGAGAGGATCGCCTGCATGCATATGGACAGAGAAGCAAAGCTGACATTAAAAAATGTTCATGTAACAAACCCTCAGTTATCTCACTAATGAACAGCAGCTCTCTGTTTATAGTGACTGAGTGACAGCTTGTCGCGTATGAACGATCCTCTGCAGGTTGAAGAGGCATCTGTTGTTAAAGAAAATAAACCTTTGATAAGAATCATCTCAACTAGCCAGAGACAGATATGATGTTAAAAGGGTCATTTTATGATTTGTTCATTTATCAATCTTCTTCTGTACTTCAATTATTTTACCAAAACGTGCACACTTAAGTCTACTCTCTCTCACACACACACACCCTTATGTTTGTACCTTGATTTGAAGCTAAGGTGCAGGCTTCTAAAATGTACAGAAAAAGCAAGCTACAACTTGTTAATCCAAACAATTTTATCAGACTGAACTGAAAAAAAAAACCAGGCTGTAATGAAGTGACTAGTCCACTGTTTGGTCTACAGCTGGCACTTACAGAGAGCGAGCCCTGCAGTAACTAAGATGTATTGTTAATGTAAATATCGATACTGATGGGCTTTAGCAGTGCAGTGCCTGTTGCGGAACTGCATTCAACTAATTATCAATTTTCGGAAGGAAAGCAGTCATCCTAGGCTCTAATAACAAGCGTAACAATGACTGATATGATAACTATTGCTTTGACAAGTGGAAACGAACACAGTCTCTTTGAATACAGTCATATTAGACTTATTAGGGCAGATTTCACTTCGCCCGGGTCCAGCTGAATGAAATGAGATCAGGCCCAGAGAATGAAGCTGCAGTAAACCTTTATAAATGGGGGATTTACTGGCTTTCTTAGGCTGGGAGTTTTGTTTGTCTTGGAGATTTTTGATAACACCTTAGACAGCATCTAAAGGGTGGATGTAAGCTGTTGTTTTAAAAGTAAAGCAAACTGAGAGCGGCCGGCTCAGGTTTGAATCCGGCCTGTGGCTCCTTTCCCCGCATGTCATTCCCCAATTTCTCTCCCCGATTTCCGACTCTATCCACTGTCCTATCCTACAATTAAAGGCACAAAAAGCCCCCCAAAAATATTAATAAAAAAAGAAAAATAAAATAAAAAAAATTGATTATGCATGAAAAATGTGATTTCCAGTTTAAGTAAATTATCAAATCATATCAAATAATATTCTCATACCATATTGTAACATTAACAGTCCATTCAACAGTGTTATAATCAGTCATGTTGAGGTAAACCCTTTTATTTTTATAAAGTTTAAAAAAAATCTTGATAAAACGAGGATAAATTAGGTTAATGTTTTTTTTTAAATGCGTGGACATTTTTGGGAGCTCAATACAATCATGTTAATGCCCATTTTTGATATAATATGAAGGACGATGTTCCATTTATATCTCATAACTTGCCAAGGCAAGCTACTGTAGGGAAGATTTTCAAATAAAAAAATCCAATAACCCAACAACAGTGAAAAATAAATTAAGTTATTTGAGGTGTTTTTTAAATGGTAAGACCCAAAATGCACTGTTCTCAGAGAATAACCCTTTTACACACTTATGATACTACTTTATTCCATTTGTTCTTTTATTTAACTTTTCTCTTAAAAGATGTGTATCTGTTTGGGGTTCACAGTCTCTTTCCGTTTGTCCCTCTCTGTCTGTCTGTGTTTTTCGTGCACCCAGTCATGACAGGTCAGGCCCTGGGCACACCATGCAGCACGGCTCACATGGAAGACAACGCTGCAATCCGCATCAACGTAGGTGGCTTCAAGAAGCGTCTCCAGTCGAACACCCTCTCTCGGTTTCCTGATACCAGGCTTGCACGTTTGCTTCAATGTCAGTCCAAAGAGTCCATTCTGGAGCTTTGCGATGATTACGACGACACAGAGAAAGAGTTTTACTTCGACAGGAATCCAGCACTCTTCCCCTATGTGTTGAATTTCTACAACACGGGGAGGCTGCATGTCATGGCAGAGCTGTGCATCTTCTCCTTCAGTCAGGAGATCGAGTACTGGGGCATCAACGAGTTCTTCATTGATTCGTGCTGCAGCAGCACCTACCACGATAAGAAAATGGACCAGAACCAAGAGGATTGGGATGACAGGAGCGATGAAGCAAGCAGCACTTCGTCTTTTGATGAACTTTTGGAGTTTTACAGTGATGCAACCAAGTTTGACAAACAGCTGCTTGGGAGCACAAGAAGGCGCTTTTGGTTGATGCTGGACAACCCTGGTTACTCTGTGGCCAGCCGCATCATCAGCATCCTCTCCATCCTAGTAGTGCTTGGCTCCATCACCACTATGTGTATGAACAGCATGACTGAGTTCAGTCTGTTGGACGGTGAGGGGCAACTCAAAGAAGACCCCCGTTTCGAGACTGTGGAACACTTTGGCATTGGCTGGTTCACTGTGGAGCTGGTTGCCAGGTTTGTGGTAGCACCTGATCTTCTTCATTTCTTTGAGCACCCGTTAAATCTGATAGACCTGGTGTCCATACTTCCATTTTACCTGACGCTTATTATAAACCTGGTGGTTGAAAGCAGCCCTGCACTAGCTAACCTGGGCCGCGTTGCACAAGTGCTGAGGCTAATGAGGATTTTCCGCATCCTGAAGTTGGCTCGTCACTCGACTGGGCTGCGCTCCCTAGGGGCAACCCTCAGGAACAGCTACAAGGAAGTGGGCCTGCTGCTTCTTTACCTGGCTGTAGGGGTCTCCTTTTTCTCCGTCGTTGCCTACACAGTGGAGAAAGAGGACAGTGAGGATCTCTCCACAATCCCAGCATGTTGGTGGTGGGCAACAGTCAGCATGACCACCGTTGGGTACGGCGATGTGGTGCCATTGTCCATAGCAGGCAAGCTGACTGCCTCGGCGTGTATCCTCGCTGGGATCTTAGTTGTTGTGCTTCCGATAACACTCATTTTCAATAAATTCTCTCTCTTCTACAAAAGACAAAAACAGCTAGAAATTGCAATGAGAAGTTGTGATTTCGATGAGGGGATAAAAGAGGTACCCTCGATCAACCTAAGGAATTATTATGCACACAAAGTTAAGTCCCTCATGGCGAGCTTGTCAAACATGAGCCGGAGTTCACCTAGTGAACACAGTCTCAATGAGTCAATACACTAAACAGTTTACCAGCCAACACCTATTAAAACAGGTGACATGGTACTTTCAATGTGGCATGACTGCAAATTGTGTGTACGAGTGTCCAGATTGTGAAACTGGTTAAAAATCTAATTTGCCACTGATGTCTGACCATTTGCCACTATGTAGCTCAGTGCAATAACCTGTTAAAAAAAAAAGTGTCACTTGCAATGAGAAAGTAAGCAAATGTTGTGGCTCTGTTGTTGAAACATGATATCATAACTAAATACAGTAGATCAAAATTTTGCAACATTGGATGAAAAAGGCAGAGGAATCAGTTATTGTTTAAAGTGTTAGATGGTGTCAAACTCTGGTCAACGCTCCATCTGTTATGGTCAACTATGTCTGAAAGTGACTCTAGTTGTATCTCTTCTGAAAAATGTCAATGTGTCATTGTATCTTGTAACAAGATGAATTCAGATGTGTTGTTCAAAACCGTATTAAACCAAAAATGCACAACACTGTGTCTTACTGATTGACAGATATTTAAGCCTGAAGAGGAAAGGTGGATTTACTTCAGTGATGGATAAAATATCTGAAACAGTTTGACAGGCATACCAACAGAAGTTTTATGCTGACACAATACATTAATGTGTTTAATGTGTCTATTAATGAAAATAGTTTATTTGTGTTTATTTGCACCTGGTCAGCATCATTAAAGGATAAAAGCCATTTGATAAAAGTAAGGAAAAAATTGCTTTTCCCGTCTCAATTTTCTGTAGAATTATCTACATTCATTTTAGTTTATAATTAAATGTTTGAAGGCAAATTTAATTCTGAGGCCAGTTGATGCCCAGCCACCACCATCGCACTGTCGTCCCCACAATCACCGCTGTCCTCATTCATGCACGGCCTGCTCTGACCTCCACCTCAGCTGCAAGGAAGTGTGGACAACAGGACGTGAGGAATACAAAGGAGAAATCCTTCCTGCATTTTATCCCATCTCCCATTTTTCTTAACGAGTATGGTCTTTAACGCTCCTCAAGATAACACTTGTTATTGCTATACAAATAATGACTGATTGATGTCATGATGTATGATAACAGATAGCGATTACTTTCATTGTTAGCTTAACCCTCTTATAGAAATAATTTTTATGGCAACAATGACATTTAAACAACTAATTTTTATTTAATTTTTATACAGATAATTTGCCCATGTCAACGACTTGAGCAAAAAAGAAACCCCGCCCCTGTGAGCAGGAGTCATTTTGTCCATGTGTAGATTATGGGTTATGCTTACTTGAAAAATAATCTTGATAAATTCATGTATTGGGGGTGACAAAGCAAAAGTAAGGGCCTTGTATTAACGCCTATAGGTCACTGTGTCTCCTGAGAAGGAAGATGGAGATGTATTGAGCTGCCATCCAGTTTGTTCTGCAATTGCGATATAAAACTTAGCGCGCTCAGGCACGGTACACTTCCTTGGCTTTGGCCCACTTCAGAGAGGTGTGCTTCAGCACGGTACACTTCCTTGGCTTTGGCCCACTTCGGAGAGGTGTTCTTCAGCACGGTACACTTCATGCACGAGCACAAGCCCGCGGGTACACAACGCTGACATTATGGTGAAATCCAGAGTTTCATGGCTGTATCTGACTAAAATACAATACAAGCCCCAAAGTAGCTGTCATGTTCTCTGTGTTGTTCGCCGATGTGCGGCCGCGGACTCGACCGCACCTACCTGTTTTTCATTTTATTTTTCTCCCGTCCGCCTGTTTGTAAACTGGGCGCTCTTCATAATAACATAAAGCATGCAGCGGGGGGCCAATCGTGCTTGAGTACGGCACGGTACGGATTGCCATTGTGACCGCGCCTTTAGAGTAAGTAAGCTCACGAGGAAAAACAACAATGTTCGAAATCACTGCCAAGCCTTCCAGTTCAACACCTTAGAATTCATGTTATGTAGACTACAATGAAGGAAGAGAAACAGTCTCTCCATCTGAATGTCTTGTAGAAAAACGATTAAGTACAACGGCTAGTGAGATGTAACGATGATTTGATCTAATTCATGTTTGGACTAAAATATTTTTTCATGAAGCGTTCTGTTTTCTCTGAAAAGTTGTCAGGCTAGTATGCTGTAACATGTTTTACATTTTAACAACAGGGAATGTGATTTATTGTATTAATTCAATTTTACACCAGATTCCAATAGGATTCCAACAAGACCCTGTTACTTCACACTTTGGACTCTGACATCTTTGTTAAGTTTACTTAAGACAAAGCTATGGTGAGTCTGATCTCTACCAACGATGGAAGAGCCAATTGGGATAAGGAAAACAACCTTGTGCTGAACGTCTGGACTTCAGCAGGAAGCAGCAGAGGAACTACGACACATTCAGTATCAAAGGCAGCCAGGTAGAGCAAGTTGACAGCTTCAAATACCTCAAGGTCCACATCACTCAGGACTTCTCCTGGACCTGACACATCAACAGTACCATCCCAGACAACTACCATAAAGAGACTTGTGTCTAGGAAAATGATTACCTGGATGGGAAACAGTACTGCTTGGCCTTCAGAAGGGTTGTCCGCTCAGCTGAGTGAACCATCAGAAACACCAGGTGGGTTGCACCCACATTCGCTGATACCTTATTTCATCCCCCACACTTTTTACTGAGGGAGTCATTGATGAAAACCTAAAGTTAAGTCTGATTTACAGAAAGGCAGTTCAACTTAATCACAGCAGTTTGACCAACCCATCAGGCCAGAGAACAGTTTATAGTTGAAGCACATTAAAGTTACATGCTTTCAGAAAATAATCCTGTCACTGGCGTACGGCTCGAAGGTGAACTAATGGATGTAGGGTTGTTTACTTTAGGATGCTTGACACATCCTAAAGTATACAACACCTTATCCCCCCTTTTGTTACACAATTGACAATTTACAATTACACAAGACAGTCATTATCATACATGTCTTCATTATTATACACAATATTCCCCCCCACTCCTTCATACTCTTATATATAATATAATACTATATATTAAACATTTTAAATGTATTTTATTTATATAATGTGTATATTTAATTGGCTGGACAGGTAACAAATACTCCCATTTTAATATGCATTGTACTGTATAAGTCAAGTTTATTTCTATAACACATTTCAGCAGCAAGGCAATTCAAAGTGCTTCACACACATCATCGAAGCATCATGCCAGAGGGAAAAAGAAACTTTATCAAATGAAATTAAGAAAAGTTAATAAATACTAAGAAATTAAGTCAAAGTAGAGAAGTAAAGACAGAAGTTATGGAAAAGCAGCAGTAAATTAAAGATGTTTTAGAAGAGCTTACAGATGTAGTGAGCCTCACTTCTAGTTTGTTCTACAGGTGAGGGGCATTCAAACTAACAGCTGTCTCACCTTGTTTGGTTCTGGTTCTGGGAACAGTGAGCACGCCTGTCCCAGAGGACTTGAGGGATCTGGATGCCACATAAGGGACTTAAAAGGTATTTTGGCCTTCGACTTGTCGGCTCCTTGTGGGAGCAGGATTCAAACATCTATCCTTTGACTTACAGGAAGCTAGTGCAGAGCTCTAAGGACTGGTGTGATGTGTTCTACTTTCTTGGTGTTGGTGAAGACTCTTACAGCAACATTCTGGATGAGCTTCTACTGTCTGATAGATTTTAGAGTTAAGACCTTAGAAACGCCATTACAACAATCAAGTCTGCTGAAAATGGAAGAATTAACAAGTTTCTCTGAGTCCTCTACAAGGGAAGGGGTGCCTTGAAGCACCATGTCTACCTCAAGGAAGCTGTCACCTGAATCATTACTTTCATCCTTAACATGTGTATAAAATTGAAACACAACCCATGCAGTAGCCTATATGAAAACAATCTCAGATAAACAGTACGGCCTACACTTCTGTTATTCTCTCTTCAGCTTCATAAATCCTGTGCTTTGCCTTGTTAATGCCCTCAATTTCATTTCTTAGCGTTTCACCGTCATACTGTTAAAGTCTCTAAGTTGTGTCAGAATCGTTTCCAAGTTTTCTTCCGCCAGTTGTGCAGCTAGCTTGCTGCTGTTAGCGCTGCCTTCATAAGCGACAGGTCCGTCGTTTAAGGCACACTGTTCAGATCTTTACAAAACATTGACTTCCTCAATTGACTCTTAAATTGAATATTATCTGCCCCTATATCACTTAGTAAATTGTTAAATAAGTATAAAGCCAGGCTCTGTGGGCTTTAGGAAGCACTTTGAATTGCCTTATTGTTGAAATGTGCTACATAAATAAACTTGCCTTGCCTTGCCTGAGGAGTTAATCGAGGGAAGCTGCTAATTTTGACTGCTAAATTAGGCATACGTGATAAAGGCAGGCCTAGACAACAATGGGGGCTCTGGTGTGAGCACTGAACATGTAACCAGCTGCAGGACTGTCAACCTCACCCACTCCTCTCCTGCTCTGCTCGCTTCACTTCAGCCTCTCTCTCTCTCTTTCTTTCTCTTGCTCGCTCTCTTGCTCTCTCTGGCCTGCTTTAGCATTCACTCACTGCTCACTCCACAACGGCAGTAGGAGACGAGACATGTCAGAGCGTTCAGATCCTGGGGAAGAAATCAGTCATTAGGATTTAGAAAATACAAATATGGAGTAATGTAGGCACCAAGTATTGGTGAGTATTTAACTACACAAATAAGTATTTTTTACACAATATTATACAAGTGTCTGGAAAAAGCAAAGAGTTTGTTTTGGAGATCTTTTTTGAATTTCATTTTCAATGCTACGGATCACCAACCTTCATTTTATTGGACTGAAGTTGACAACTGAATCATTTAGATTTCATGCAAACTTGGCAAACGAAACCCTAATAGAAAATGGTAAATAGCCTTGAGCTTTTATAGCGCTGGTCCAGTCTCTGACTAAAGCATTTTTATCCAAGACGTTATAGTGAAAAACAGAACATGGTTAGAGGCAGTCATTATCAACATTTATATGCCAGAAGTTGTTTTTTTAAAGCTGTCTGACATATACAGTAAGAGAGCTACTACCCACAGACTCACTCCTGCACACCGCCCACTCAGTACAAAATAACATGATAGAGATTAAAGAGCTACTAATAAGATAAACTCAGAGTTTCACATCACTGTGTACGCTGTATCTGAAATACAAGTACAGTTCTCATGTACAATTTTATCCACTTCTGCTGTCAGTCCTGAGACTATCAGTACATCAAAACTTCTAAAACAAGACTTACTTATTTGCAGCTAAAGACAAGTAGTTTAGTTTAATTGTTTATTTGAATCAGGGACAGTGTACAAAAAAAAACCATTAGTCTCAGAAGAGAAGAGATGCTTTGTACCAGATTTAGCTAACTACCTAATTTCCATCTGTTGTTCCTGGGCAGATGATGGCAACAGCAACATATAAATCAACCAGTCACACATACACACACACACATTTCACAAGAGAGAAGATATTTACAGATATTAAAACATGATGTACAAGTTTCCCTGAGAGATCTAAAAGGT